CTTTTACCTATTACATGACACAACGGCATGCCATACTACTTGAGTGCCATCCAGTGGCTGAAAATGGTAGTGTTCAATATTTTCAGTCAGAATGAAAATAGTCATATTTCAGCCAAAAATTGGATTATAAATATGGGGAAATATCCATAAATAGTTTGCTTCATTATACAAGTCGTAGGGCATGCAAATTATGCAACAAAAAAAAAAAAAAACCTTATAGGGTGAAAAATACAGTAGTCTCAAACTGCTAATGCTTTTTTTTGTGTGCGTGTTATTTATCCATACTGTCAATTAAGTGTCTTTATCAAACAATAAAATGTCATAATTCAGTCAGTTTCACAGACAGTGACGTAAAGTTTGATGTGGTAGTAGCTGAAAGTCATCCTCAACACATAACACGTCATTTACAAGGTTTGACCAAATACAACTCCATCATTCCTCATCGTAAGACAATCTTAGCTTTACACTCTTACGGTGACAGATTTATGCACTTTTTTTAAACGAATAATTGACCTTTCATTAAAACAAAGCTGTTCAGATCCAGACAGACATTATTAGCTAAATTTGGCTGTAGGTAAAAAGGGGTGAGGGGGAAATTAACAAGCTCCAATTAGGTGACAAAAGCCAATTAGGCAAGCTTAATTAGTATTAATTAGTATTCTGTAAGAAAACTGAAAAGGTGAGTGCAGGATTGGGAAAGCTGCCTTTCGTACAAGAATCGTCGTCAGTGAAGGTCATGATGGACGAACCGATATCTGCCCTACCAGAACTGTGTCACAGCTGAGGCAGAAATGCTCTCACGTTGATGAAAACCAAATAATCCCCGCGCTCCAGTCCAACAACGAGCTTCAGAAGTGTGAGAATATGTGGGGCTCAGCTCAACAACTGCAGTTGTTTAAAGGGATAATAAAAAAAGAGGAAAATCCTGCATCTGGTTGGTAAATTAAGATCACCCATTAAATGACGACTCAACCAGTCCCTTTATTTAAAACTGCTTCATTTAACTCAAAAATCACAAAACAAACGCTCTTACTTTGAAAATCGGATAAATCTGAACGTAAAATCCAACAGAAGCAATTTGAAAGCATTGATAGAACAAATCTCATTTAAGATCACTTTGCAGACATATAACAAAGGCTTTAATGAATAACAACTTTTTAAAATTTATTTATTAACCTTTATTTAACCAGGCAAGTCCCACTGACATCACAGATCTCTTCTGCAAGGGAGGCCTGGGCCTGAAGGCAGACCGGAGTACCCGGAGAAAACCCACGCAAGCACGAGAAGAGCATGCAAACTCCACACAAAAAGACTCCAAGTCCAACTGGGGATTGAACCCAGGACCTACTTACTGTGAGGCAACATTGCTAACCACTGAGCCATTGTGCTGTCAAAACACTCCTTTTAAATACACTCCGTTAGCACCACCAGGCTCAAATAAAGCTGACCTAAATATAACTTGAATTACAGAAACCTTTCTGGAGCTGCCGCCTCTCTTCAGTCAGTTCAAATGACCGTTTGCAAAACGACCTGTCAATCAAAGCCAGACACCAGCAGGTAAACATTCTGTGAATATGCTAGCTGCTATGGTGGCCCGGAGGAGCAAAACTCAGTACAATAAAGACAATAGTATCAGAGAACACAATGTTTGATTCAAAGCAATAAATTACTATCTTTTATCTTTTTTAAAAAAACATCACAGAAACAATAAAAAGCACAACATTTAAAACGTATACATTACCTGGACAAAGCCACCGTCCTGCTTGTTGCAACACACCTGATTAATATTAACGCCCCGTTAACAGATTTCTGCAGAACTGCAACTGAGGAAATGATTTAGACAAATGATTGATCTTAACTTTAGGGGAAACAAATCTAGTTTAATCTCAATGGATTTCATTTCTTAGCTCCAACCTGTCGTCGACTGCAAATGATAATTTCAAGGTTTGACCAGGACAGCTACTTTCCAGTTATTTTTCATCAGAGGGTGATTTTAGTTTCGAACTGTGGCATGAGGAGGCGGGCGATATGCACGCCTTTAAAGAATGCCAATCCTTTAATACTATTTCACACATTTATTTGATAGATTATAAGCACTTTAGTCTGAAATATATGTTGGCGGGCATTTCTGATAAGCTCCCTTCTTGTGAAAAACCTGCCCAGCAGACCGTGAGTCTCACATGTTCAGGTTCAGGTGACAGGGAATGTCAATCATCTGGGCTCCATGGCAACAGACGGGGACTGATTTTACAGTTCATGTCCTCATTGTTGTTGTGTCAGCTCACCTACAATATTTAATGGTTATGTTTTTGTTGTACTTGCTGCGAAGTTCAGATATTTCATTTTACAGAACTCACGTTTGTTCATTTAAATATAATTTAGAGAATAAACACTAAATCCGTATGTATACATTTATCCTTTATAAATACATTACCTATGTATATGTAAATATACATCTATTTACAACACTTTACACTTGATTAAGTCAACTTTTTAACAAAAATCGATCCAAAAATCGAATCAGTGAAACTCTGAAGTTAAAAAAATCATCTAATTTTACTTTGTGCTATCATTGTTGAGAAACAAATATAAATTAAGCACATTAAACTTAATATATACGAGGTCATTGTTTGTGCTATGATCCAATTGTTTTGGTGAAATTACACAGGCATTCATTTGTTAATAAGAAACGCATTTTTATCTGTCTAGTGTGGATGAGGAAAAGTTACTCCAAGATTTACATTGTACTCACGCTGCCCCCCAGTGGTCATTCAGGGAGTTACATCACAGTTTTTCTACAGAATCTGTTTTCATCTCTGTGCACATCCTACACAGTTTCTTTGAATTTAAACCTGTTTTTAATAAATATATTTTTAATTATTGATTCCTGTGGTTATTTTCAATAAGTCACTTATGTCATCACAAATACTTTTGAACTGAATGTTACGCCGAGCCCACGAGTTCTGATCAGTTTTGATTTGTGAGATTTTTTTCCAGTTCATCTTATTAAAAAAAAAAAAAAAACAACTCAGTTCCAGAAACTAATTTAATTCTGTAATCACCCATATTTATTTCCGGGACATTTTAAAGCCCATGAAGTGCGTTTGTTAAAATAAAGAAAAACTAAATCAATAGTGAAGCAAAATTTTGACAGTTTAAACATTTATTTTTAGCCTCGTCACTTGCTTTGTAGCATCTCAAACTGTTTGCAGTTTGTGGTTGGAAAAAATTCTGAAATGGTCAAAATACTTAAGAGTAACTTTTAGATGAGCCGCTACAATATTTTAATTTTGGGGGTCAGTTCTGTTCAAGATCTCCTCCTCAGCTGACTGGCGTTTGCCAACACAAAATTAAACTTAATTTAATTACGATCCTAAATTTGATGTGGTGGTAACAGTCATTTACAACACCTCTCTGAGAGTATTTCACAATATTAAAATTTTAAACAGAGGAAATAATTATGATGGTGTTAATCAGTATACAAGTTCTGTCATCATCTTGTCTCATATTTCTAAAATAAAAGAATTTGGGGTACACACATATATTTGTAGACATAAACCTAAACACTGTGGTGCCACAGTTTTTCCAAGCTTTTAGTACTAACATTTCATTTAATAGTGTTACTGAGTACTTTAGAGCTTTGGCTTTTGAATGCTGTTACACACTATGTCCTGCAGGTGGCAGTGTTGCTCTGTTTCTTCAAATTCTTTCATGAGACACAGAATAAACAGAAAATTTCAGACACAAAATATTTTATTTGAATCATTTTGTTTCAGCTAATATTTTTTTTAACAACTTATTTGTTAGCCCACTCCAATACCATGAACAGGAAGCTGATGTCTTTACAGTACAGTCCATCACAGCAGAGGATCCAGCGCAGCCGAAAAAAAATAAATCATACAAAAGGTTCACAAAATAAAAAAAAGCCAGCCAACAAAACGCATTAAACCACATCCGTTAGGCAAGAATCAGATCAACAACTCTACAACCATAAGTCAGTTTCAGGAATATCTCAATTACTCCATATTAAACATCCAATGGGCTATTGTGACAGCAAGAAAATACTGCAAAATATCAAATACAAAGAAAATTAGAGTTACTGTGCACTGATAAAATAAAAACATGGCTTATTAGTGTCATAAGACAATGATATATTAGTTTAAAAAACTGGAAAGGCAATGAGCTGCTTGTGCAATAGAATAGTGTGCCTGTTGGTAACCAACCTGAGACTCATCCTCAAACTAAATAAGTTTTAGGTTTTACTTGTGGTGATTTGACTGGGGAAAAGAAGTTAAACCACAGAAGAGGTCATGTTTTAAATATATCGTATATTTCAGACTATAAGACACACTTAAAATATTTTGATTTTCTCAAAAATCAACAGTGAGCCTTATAATCCGGTGCACCTTATGTATTAATTGTGTTTGTAGTTACTGATCTCAAACCAATTTTATGTGGTACAACTGAACAATGTTGAGAGTTTATGTGAATGAGTTGAATTAAGTTTGACTTATCCGACTGTTTAATTTAGCTTATTGCACCTTATAGTCCAAAAAATACGGTAACCGTGTTGGAACATATACTACAGCAAATGTTTCACTGGTTGTGCTCAATCTAGGCAAATCATGTTAGGAATGATAAAATACATCATTTGGTTTAATGTGCTTAGTGTCTAACTTGTGTTTTTATCATAACATTACCTTAACTTAATTGGCTAATTCAAAAAAATGGGATCCAGTTTTACCTCGCAGCCATGTTGGTTCAGTTTTACAGATGATCCCTCGGTTTTTTTTCCACTTTCAGTCCTTTGCATAGCGCCTGTGCTGCATCATTCATAACGCTCACCAAAACTTCTTATTTTGTTGAAATCACTTTCATTTTTGTTGCTAAAGTAGCAAAAACATCCAGTTCATATATCCTAAATACAAAAGTGCAACAAACAAAAAAAAAAATCACTTTCATCATGTCAGTTTCTACAGACACAAACAAATACTGTCGCATTAAAAAAATAAAATAATAAAATGGACAAAGTTAAGGCTTCAAATTGTAGATGCATTAAAAAGCCATGCAAATACACACATTCCACTGCAAGCAGGCGATGAAACACAGAGAAAGAAAGCTGACACTGAAGCGTGTATATAAGGTTTTCTACTTATTGCAGTTTTACTAAATCACAATTAGGGTGTTATTCTGAATCACACGCCCCCAACACACACACACACAGACACACACACACACACATTATGTAACTTTTTCTGGCTTTTCAGGCAAACTGAGCACAAAAGGGAAAAGGACACCCTTCGCCTCTAGAGGTGCTTTCAGGGTTTCCTCCACAAAGTAGGAGCTCTCCTCCTCCACCACGAACTGAAGAGTCTGGCTTTTGTTCACGCAGTAGATGCAGTTCCCGATAACGGCGCACCTGAAGGGTAAATAACTTCCCAGCCTCTGCGACGCGCAGTCGTGCCACATTTTCACGATGGTGTTGTACTTGAACACGGTGATCCCCTGCTCTCGGTTCACATCAAAGCGGTAGATGAAGCTCTTCAGCGCCACCATGTCAGAGGACTTCTTCCTGCTGTTGTTGTAGGGACACTCCTGCCACTCATCCCTCTTGGAGTCGTACTTGAGGAGGCGGAAGAAAAGAGAGCCGCCTGAAACGTAGAGTTCTCCGCTGCAGGTTGTGGCTTCGTGGGCCACCGCGAAGGCTCCTTTGGGCAATGGAGCCACCATCGTCCAGCGGTCCATTCGAGGGTCGTATTTTTCCACCGTGAACAGACATTCCCCTCCGATGGCGTACAGGTAGCCGTCCATAGATACAAGCTTCAGCTGGGCTCGGGCCTGGTTCATTGGTCTAATGTCGGACCAACGGTTGGTGATGGGGTTGTAACAGAAAACCTTGTCTGACACTTTACCCTTGTCTCCATAGCCCTTGATGCCTCCTGCTACAAACAGGTAGTTAAACATGGTGCAGATCCCGCATCCCTTAGTGTTTATGTCTTCGGGCATCACAGTCAAAGGTCGCCAGTCATTTTCTGATTCACTGAACAGGTAAATCATATTGTTCTCCTCCAAAGACCCCGCGGACAAGGGACTTTGAGGTCGGCTGCCACAGCGACTCGGTGGTCGACTCCCGACTCGATCGAACACGTCATTTACCTCTGCCACCATCAGAGTCTTCCTCCCGTCCACTCTCTTCTTCAAGATGAGATCCCTTTCAGACCCCGTTAGACGTCCGTAGACTGCGGGGTCCTTGAGGATCTGCAGGAAGTTGTCGCTCAGGAAGCCGTACGCAGTCTCCTTCAGCTCACTGAGTCGCTGCTTCTTGGCGATGGTCAGGATCTCGTAGCAGTTCTCTGCGGTGATCTGCTCCGACATGGAGTCCATCGCTGCCTGGACGGCGCAGGGGATCTGCAGGATCTTAGCCCCCGTGATGACATCAACCACATTTTCTTTGCCCACACTAATTTGAGAGGTGTAAAGATAGTCTATCAACGTCGACAGAGTCTTGTAACTCACGCCCTTAACTTTCAGGATGTTGCGGGACATGCGCGCTTTAAAGTAATCACTCTTCTCCGCCAGGACAGACTTGTGAGCGTTGATGGTCTGACCGCCGACCTCGATGACTAAATCTGGTTCTTGTTGTGGCCGTGCATTCTCAGCTTTGAGATCCGGTTTCAAACCCAACCCGTCAGTTCCCCGTTTGTCTTCACTGCACATGAAATCTGCACCTAACGGCACGTTCTCTCTTGCTCCATTGTGGAGTTCACCACTTGTACAATTCTGTTGCATCCCAGCAATGTGATTGAAGACAGCAGAGTCAGCATGAGGAGGGTCTTCTGAACTCCCTGCGTTACTGGAAAGGTGACGCTGATCGGCTCTTGAGGCGTACGAGCCGTCACCTTTTGGGTGATGGAAGCAGTTACTCTCCATTGGTCTTCCATCGAGCAGGTATTCCTTCCCGAACACAGGAGGGGAGCTAAAATCTGGACTGTCGTGCAGGAATCCCTGAGCGAAATCTCTACATACGTTCCTGTTTTGGTCAGAAAGGGTGACCAGGTCAGGGTTCACCGTGTGGAGGATGGCTTCAGCCTCCACCGCCCCTCCTCCCGGCCTGTATCCCTCATTCATTTCACTGCTCACTGGCTAGAGGAGACGGCGTTCTCCATGACAACGATGAGTGAAAAAACGTGCGACTGCGTTCCTCCCTGCACCTACATGGAAGACAAAACAAACAGAGGATTTAACCAAACGCAGAAAAAAAAAAAAAAAAAAAAAGAGCTAGTCTTCAGGCTGCAGACCTCCCAACTCTGAGAGGCGCCCTTCATCTTGAAAACCCTGAAATCCTAAAGGATTCATTTTCATAAAAAAAGAAAGGTAATACACTCCTGCAGTGTGTTATTTTACTCAGACCTCCAAGTGAAACATAAAGGAAGAGCAGAAGCAAGATTACTGCAATAATCACCCTGCTGCCTCTCCTTTGGATGTGGTAATCTGGAGACATTTAGAGCGCATGCGCAAATGGGTTCGCTTTTATAGAGGAATTAATCTAAAACCGTAGAGGCCAGCATGAGATTTTATTAATATATTAAAAGATTATAAAGCTTTCTAACGTAAAATGAACAAATTATAATGAAACTCTTACATCAGCTGGACTAAAAAGACACATTTCATGCATTACTGGTTCAAACATGTCCATTATTAGGCTTTATGGGACCTACGTACCTGCGGTGCCTCGGGTGGATTTCTCAGCTCTGCTCAGATGTTTCTGAGCCAGTCCCTCCACAGAGCTCAGTTACGTAAGGCAGGCAGTCCTCCCCTCAATCCTTGGACTTCTTCAGACGCTTTGACCCACCCGTTCATCATTAATCTGCACATCTGTAATCCCGAGCTGCGAGGTTTCCTCCCAATCTCTGCGCTTCTGATCTGAAATCACAGGTTCCGTATGAAAAGGCGAAACGATCCAACAGCCAGTCCAGGTTTCTCCTCCCTCCTGTGGCGACACTTTTCCTCCAAAAAGACAAGAAGCCGCTGCGTAAACCTTCTCCTCTCCTCCACCCACAAGAACCGAGAGATCTGCTCCTCCAGACCAGAGACTGGACGGTGACATTTGTGTTTTCGGTTCAACAGTTGACAGGAGGGGGGCGGTGATTATTGATTTAAACCCCGCCCCCCTCGAGCCGCATTAACACCGAACAGCTCTGCGTTCGTCTGTCGCGCGCGCGCTGGACGCAAACTAAACGCCACGTTCCTTTACGCATCTAATCTGCCATGCAAGGAGAAGTGGATTAAATGTATAACTCCTCAACAAACTCGTGTGGAGAATTTACAATTAGATTGCAAACAATTCGACTGTTCTGGCCAATAAAGTTTACATTTGGTTGGCCTTGTTGCTGTTTTAAGTGCTATATAAATAAATTGGTATGGTATGGTATTAAAGGCGCTCCTTTTGTTTGGGTTCCAACATTAAAAAGGTCAGATGGTGCAGTTTGAAAGTTTATTCCAATAGTTTACATATATTGATGGGAAATTGTGATATGCGGGTCTGCACTCAATGTAAACAACACTTAATGTGCCCAAACCATATAGATGCTGGAGTCATGTGACTGATCTCCATCAGCCTGGCTGTGGATCTGTGTAGGTAACAAAACAACAGAAAGAGACAAACTGGACGTATCAAAAAGTGCATCTTTGTCTCAATATGAAATAAAAGAAAACGACGAAGTAATAAGAGCGTCAAAAGTAATGGTAATAAGGCTCCCCTTATAGTTTATAGATGTTATTAACTCCTATAAACACTCTATAAATCAATAATAACTGCTTATTATGCATTAATTAGGGGTGACGGAAACAAAACTGAGCCGCTTGTTGCCAAATCTGTTCACCTATATATTTCATCTAGAGTTGTTATATTAAACATTTCAGACTAAGTTACTATCCTGTAAGCACAATAAGCATTTATAAACCTATTTTTTTAGCATATAATATTGTAGATAATTATAATGTAATGCTAAAGTACAACTATTATATCCTAAAAAAAATAGTGTTACAAATGTTTGTGTTTACAAGGCAGTAATTTAGTCTGAAACGTTTAATATAACAACTCTAGATGAAATATATAGGTGAACAGATGTGGCTCATCATTTGGCAAGAAACAGCTCAGTTTTGTTTATGTCACCCTTAATTAATGCATAATAAGCAGTTATTGATTTATAAAGTGTTTATAGAGCAATTAATGTATCTATAAACTATTTATTAGTCATCTATAACAGGCGTCTGATTGTAAAGTGGTACCAAAGTAAATATCAGTACTGTACTCAAGCAGGGCGGTGAAGCCCTGATCTGATCTGATCACGTCGGCTCTTTCCGTAGGTAAATAAACGTAGTTGGAATCCTCACAAACTTTGTTTACGAATCTAGGAAATCATTAAATACGTCTTATAAGTGATTATGTTTTCTACTTTTATGAATTCTTTGACCAGTCTTCATGAATTTGCTTCGAGTTGCTTTTAGCTCATTAAGAATATGCACATATGGTAGATTTGACAGAGGAAAAAAACAATTAATCTTGGTAACATGAGTGCAATAAGACAAACTCAAAGCATACTTTGCTGAGAAATACAGTAAAAAAAAAAAAAAAAGGTATAAGAAGCTTAGCGAGGACAACATGGTATGCATTATAAAAAGCATATAAGGGACAGCCTTGCATGGAAGCAGCAGCAGCGTAAAAATAAATCACCCAGGGTCCATAAGAACGCCTCCACCATGGAGACTTTGTGCCATAACAACTGGCCTTCAAGACATAAAAATAGAGGAGCCACAGCAAATGCATCACACAGTTATTAGCCCTGCAAGATTACAGGGTGTGCAGCAAAGGAGCTTTAATGTCAAAAACCGAGAACAAAGAGCTGCGGAGCACCGATACAACCACACTAAAGGAGAGTTGCTATAGAAACCTTCGTGCAAGAGGGGAAAACAAAAGAGTTTCAGTCACAGAACTGTCAAAACAAACTGATAGCGAGGTTAGCTCGCTGCTGCAGCCAGACTGAATTTAGTTACATTAAACACAAGTCAGCTAATATCTGGGAACAGCTGGAGGAGTTGTGGAGCAGCTTCAGCCTAAAATTAACTCCTCTTCCTGGGGAAGTGATAACGTGGAGAGATGTGGTTGCTCAAAGCGGACGTGGGTGCTGCAAAGGAGAGCCTTGACCCAGTCTGTTCGATAGTAGGAGAAATCCCGGAAGAGCTGCATCAGGCTCAGTTCCTGCGGCCCCCTCAGGCACATTGCTAGTCTTGGCATGTACTGATTGCTGCACACCACCGCAGTGAAGGACAAGGTTGGAGCGAGTGAAGACAACATGCAACACCCACACTCTCTCTGCAAGTTCTGTTTACCTACAGATGATAAAAATGAAGGGATACGTGCTCATCAACCACAAACTACCTTTAAATGATCAGACAGGTTTGCTCAATAAAAGTGTTTATAGAATTGTTAATATCCACAGGTACATACAGAGACAAAAGCATAATTTGTTTTAAATATTCCTTTTTGTAAAATAAAAATGTGCTAAGGCAAAATAAAACAGAAAGAAAGAAAATCTTGTAGTAAGAACATCTTCCTTTCATTATAAAGAAAAACCTGGCCAGCCAGGGATGCTCAGACGCCATCTTTAACTCAGTCGACAGACATTCACATATTTTAGTCCCTTTTTTTTTCCCCCTCCTCATTTACAGAATAGTTACATCTTTTCGGCCTTTAATCTCAGATGTACAACTTCGACCTCGATATGTGATTTAAATCCAGTTTGAAATGTGCTGCAATCAGAATCTTATAAGAAACTAACCGTTTCAAAGCCCCATTTACACCCTGCACACCTGCAGGGCAGTCATGTCCACCCCCTCCAAAAAAAAAAAAAAAGTTTCCTTTCCAACACGGATTTAAATACTGCGGTTCTTAACAGCCCAAACGTGTCGCACCAAGGCCACATACTAATGACATTTAAATAACAGAACAGTTAAAATAAGAAGAAATTAGAGATGTCTCAGCGATTTTAGGAGCTTTCGACTTTTCTGTAGGTGCTGTTCACACCATCACTCAGGATTGAGTGGTTTTACTGACGCTTTTCTTAAGGCAGAAACATGCTCATTTAGCAAATAGCGTTGAAGTTTTGGTTTAAAATAAGACATGGAGATGTTCTGACTGATACAAAATACTTCACACAAGAATGAACAGACCTCCATGAGCGTATGCAGCTCTGTTTAACCCAAAAACAAACATAAAAGGTGAGATTTGTAAGAGTCTACAGAAAATGTGTTGCTTTTTACAGTTAACGCTTTAGTGTCGTCACATATTCAGTAATGGGATTTGCCAGATCATGATGGTGGATGTGTTGTCCTCATGGCGAGACTGTTTAGACTTTTTGTTAACCCTTCGGTGGCCCAGACCTCCAGACACCACCAGCAGAGAGCTGACATCCACCTTGCTTGAGCGTTGACCCTTCTGGTGATGGGCAGGGTCATGAAGCATGTCATAAAGGGCCCCGTCCTCTGGACCATGCTCCAAGGATCCTTGGGATTGAGCAAGGGAGCCACAGGATGATGACAGAGAGTCCTGCAGAGCCATGGTGGTGCAGCCCGCCTCTCCCAACCACACGCCTCGTCCCTGAGGTGGTGTTGAATATGACGAAGGGTGAGCGCCGTCTGCATCCTGTGACTCCTGGGGTGAAGAGGAAGGGGTGGAAGTGGGCAGGCCAGATGGTCGGTTACACACCGCAGTGGCCATGGCGAGGAACTTGACAGGACCGTTGTGCGCATGCAGCGACACCATTCCTCGACCTAAAAAAAAAAAAAAAGACAAAAACATGAATCCATGAGCTTTTATACGCTTTGTGCTCAACTACTTTAATGTATGCCGCTCTCATCACATCATGCGTAATCAAAAACGTTGGTGAATGCACATCACTTCCTGTGCTGCTGCCATGCATAACACAGTCCCAAGAACTTGTGTTCTGATGAAGTTTTAGTGAGAGAAGCTGCAGGAGGCCAAATCTGGCGAGTAAGGCAGATGGTGACTAATCGTGGTGTTGTTATAGCCACAACACTATGGCACCACTGAATACGTCAGGACCAGTTAATCTGTGCCAGTGTTTTCCCTCAGAAGTTGGGACATGTTACAACAGAACTCAAAGGTGACTGCTACATTTGAGAGGCTGCCGTCAGGTTTCTCGATTGTCCACGTGAGAATTGGACTGAAAGCAGATAAGATGACGGCTCTCTCAAACTTGCACAACAAGCGCTTTTTAATGGATTTGGCCAAACTGCAGCTACAGCACAATACAGCTGAACTCTTTATCTGAAGAGGTATAATCAGACAGAATACCGTTCAAAAACAACTGTACGGTCTACAAGAAAATGATGACCCATGTTGTTCCCTCTCCACGTTCAGACACAGTAATTTAGAAATAAACATCTCTCTCCAGTTTTAATTTCTCTCATTGGCTCCCTAAATCCAGAATATAATTCAAAATCTTACTTCTAACCTACAAAGCCCTCAACAACCTAGCTCCACCTTATATTTGAGACCTTATTGTTCCATATTTTCCCCAACAGAGCACTTCACGCTCAGACTGCAGGCTTACTCGCGGTTCCTAGAGTTTCCAAGAGAAGAATGGGAGGAAGATCTTCCAGTTATCAGGCTCCTCTCTCGTGGAACCAACTTCCAGTTTCTGTCCGTGAGGCTGACACATTGTCCAGTTTTAAGACTGGGCTTAAGACTTTCCTTTTTGATAAATCATATAGTTGGGGTTGGCTTGTTATGTCGTCTTAAGCTTAGACTACTGGAGGACAAACTGACCTAATTTCCTTAAATGAATTGTTAAAATTGAATAGTTTTCATTTGATATTATTTCTATTATAACATGTGGTTCTTGACCTGCCATTGTGTATCTGTTCCTACCAAACCCAGCCGGTCGAAGCAGATGGACGCGTGTCCTGAGCCTGGTTCTGCTAAATGTTTCTTCATCATGAGGGAGTTTTTCCTTTCCACTGTCGCCTTCATGCTTGCTCAAGAGTCCGCGATGGAGTTAAACTCAAAGCAGTCTGCTCCTCAGATAAATAATGTTAACTTGTTTTTTATATATGAATGTTTCTGTTCAGTGTCCTGAGATGACTTCTGTTGTAACTTGGTGCTATATAAATAAACTGAACTGAAACATTTTGCAAATTTTATTTTAAATAACTTCGATTTTCACATTACCCGTTACTTTGGGGATGCCCTGAAGTCTGGGTACAGAAAGAGCCACAGTCACGCCCAAGTTGGTTCCTACTAGTAGTAGGCCGTGACAAGCCAACAGACTGCTCACAGACACTCTCTGGTTCCCTGAAGAAGAAGAAAAAAACACAACAAAAGTTTAATCTTGCATCATTTAAAGCATTTTTGAAAGGTAAATTCACAGCTATTTGCATATAAAGAGACACGGTTTGGCAAACATTCTCCCCCACAGGGTGTCTCCTTCACCATTTTTTAAAAATAAAGTGCACAGTTAATGGTTCATTTCACCAGACTTTAACACAGCACACAGGAAAGGAGGGAGAGATGTTGTTTTAGTGTGTGGCAGCATTTCTGCCTCCATGGTGTTCAACGCTCGTTTGTCTCCTGGGCAACGTGAAGAGAAGCGTGGATAAAAGCAGTGCCTTTCAAGCACCCGAACAAAGAAAAAAATGCCCCATAATGGCCATCTATGAGTCAAACAAACAAACACAAAAGTGTTACATAAGCGGAGGAGTGAAGCGTAATGCTGTAATTAAGGAAGGAGATTTGCCTCTATTCAGAACACTTGTGGCAAAACAACAGGCCTATTTGACCCGACCTTTTTCTTTCCTTCTTGTGCAGAAAACTCACTGAAGCTCCTCTGGACTGTAAAAGCTGCGACTGTTAAGTTAACAACACCTTTCAGCAAGACGCTTTGTTAAGTGACTTATTATGGCATTCCCCTTACACCATCTCAACATGGAAGCTTTATGGATCAGCTCTGAAACAAATGGGTAAGCTAACAGATTTTTTAAAATCCTATTTGTACGATTTTAATCAGAATCCAAGGTTTTTGCAAAAACAGTCCTCTAAGGTTTGCTATGTGGGAGGCGAGACTGTCAAGAGTCATTACTGCTGTAACAACCTGACTAGAATTTCCTCCCTTACAGTAATCCTCTTGGGCTTTAGGAAAAAAAATTACTACCAGTTTATCTGCCTGACCTCCTCACTAGAGCTGACCCCATGCATGGGGTGCACACACTCCATGCTGCCATACTACACGAGCTTCTGCCAGATCAGCAGGCTGGTACAGTTTACACTCAACTCTTGCCCACATGTGCTTCTAATGAAGGCTCAGAGTAAGGAGAAACACACACACTCCCGGTCAGGGGCCTTGCTCAACTTCCTCCCTTCACAATATTTGGAGTTCCCCACCCAAAGGGTGAACTAAAATAAACCCTGAGAGAGCATCAACACGGGCCGGCTCTGGCCGTGATCCCACACCAGAGGACCTCTTTGATCTGCGCTAAGTCCTGACAATCAACAGCAGGAGGGAGGAGTAAATCCAAAAAAATTACAAAAATACGCTCCAGTAATTCGGTCGGCCTGGAAATACCTCGGATCAGCACACTGAGTAATCACACTGCCAGTCACTGTGGCTTCATTAGGTTTGCTGTAAAACCAATGCAGACTGAAATTTACACTCAAGTCAGAGGAACTCCAACATGAAAAACAGTCTTTATCTCAGTAGTGCCGAGGTGACGTCTGTTGTGACTTGGCACTATATAAATAAACTGAATTGAATTGGTTCCCAACACTGGTCCCTGAGGAACACCATCCTGTATGTTTTATCTGTTCCTCTGCCCCAACACACCTGATTTGAATGAAAGGGTGATTAACAGGCTTCTGCCGAACTTAAGTAATCAGTTCACTGAATCAGGTGTGTTGGAGCAGAGAAACAACTAAAACATGCAGGATGGTGTTCCACAAGGACCAGGGTTGGGAACCACTGCGTTTAGCTAAAAAAAAAAAAAAAAAAAAAAAAAAATGCACCCAGTGCCATGGAATGCAGGTGATTTAAGAAGCACGCGTGTACTAATTAAGATCACCCGTCTAATATTTCACTCTGCACCCACTGTGTCCTGGTCTGTCCTTTCTATCCAAATGATTAGAGCAGTTGGGGGTTCGATTCCACCAGCAGTCACATGCTGAAGTGTCCCTGGGCAAGACACTGAACCCCTTATTGCCTCCGATGTGTGTCCCATCAGTGTATGAATATGATAAAGCACTGATTATTATTTGTAGATCTAGTAGAGTGCTGTATGAATGGGTAAATGAGGACACAGATTGTGATGTAAAGCGCTTTGAGTATCTTGTTAAGATAGAAAGGTGCTATACAAGCACAGTCCATTTACCATTTAAATGGCAGCGATTCATTCACCATTACGTTACCAGTTTTGAGAGGTGTGCAACAGCTGTGGCACACAAAAGAAACCAGCGGTGTTATTTACCAATCCCCTGATCCCCTGATGTTGGTCTCCCATTAGGCCACGCATGGCTGCATATTTAGGTCACACCAGCGCAGACAAAGACAGACCCTCACCACACCAACCTGCCAGCCACCATCCACCGAGACCCATAGAGCAATCTGCACTGATACAGAGATACAGTCTACAGTTTATTAGGACATTTTGGCAATTATTCTTCAAAATTTAAATCAAATATCAGCTGTATTTAAACATCATATAGTAAATTTGTATGTTGCTACAATTACGTGCTCGTTTTGAAGAGGATTGACAGTTCTGGTTTACTTAACGTATAGGTTTCCTCCTCAAATGATTGTCATTACAGCATATTAGCCATCTGTGAGCTTGGAGCTAGGATTAAAAAAAACAAAAAAACAACAACTTCTGTTTAGAAAGAAGGGAGTTGGCAGAATTGCTTCAACATGCATGAACATGAGAACGATAACCCCACCTCCTGGATCCAGCACTGCACCACTGATAGGCAGTCACAGATTTCTTTTTCCTTTTTTTTTTGTGAGAAAGTTGTTGCTGGATCAATCACAAAAAGCCATAATCACATTAGGAGTTAATAAAATAATGGGAACTTCCTAGACAAATCAGACCTCCGTATATTGTAATCTAGCTTCCTTCTGATGTCATTATTGTGCTTTTCACAATAAACACTAATGAGGAGCAGAATTACAGAAGAAACAGCCATCACTCTTTCCTTTTAACACATCAGCTGCAGACAGACCTTGCTATCCAAGCAGTTTGGCTGACAGTTCCAGTGTTAAATCACAATTTAGGCAGAAACAGTACATCTTTGTTTCATTCTGTTCCACAGCAGCAGCCAGCGGTGATGAATAAAGGGCAGCACAAACATGAGATGACAAAATATGTGGCAAACAGGTTGCAACTGCTTTCATAAATACATAATAAATCCCCAACTACAGAACTTTGTTGTTGATGGATCAAATGGAAGACAAACTACAGGGTTCTATGCAGACTGACAGTCCTGAATCCAGATATCGTTATCAGAGGAAATGAGCTCTTAATGGCGAGGCCCACAAGATGAAAACTTTAACATGTGCTGGTCTGTCCCAGAAGCTGCTTCCTCTGTGGCTGCACGGATTCGATTAGTTTATAAGGACAACAAGGTCCCACAGATTTTATCATTCACGTCTGCCAGACCAGCAGTACTTCTAACTCTACTAACCAGTGGACATCATAGAGGTTCTCACAAAACAAAACTCCAAGCATTGTCAGCTCCTTCATTTGACTTACAATTTGGGATTTCCTTTAGGAAACCAAAGTTTCTAAATGACCCAGAAACAGCTCCTCTGGATCTCTGCACCTTCACACCTCTGACTGCAATTTATTACGATGCCACAGGGGATCACTTAGCCATGGATACAAAACGTTAAACACGGATGGTTGTTTTCAACTTCGAAAGCTTTAAATATAATGTTCATATTTAATATGATATACAGTAATCTAAATAACCAACTTCTTCAGAGCTTTAAGACAGAGGGCAAAGGGTCAAACGTTAGATTGAATGAATGTATCGGAAAATCAGCTGTCCGCTTCACTCAACAAGATGGAAATTAATGGAAACCATCAATGATTGGACTCTACAAATCCTACACTCCTCCCCACAAAAATAGCAATGACCATGGTGGGTGTGTGTTTTTAGGTCATGCTGATACAACACAACAGATTCCAAGATCCAAAGCAGCAGGTCGCTGATTCAGTTGGAGACGAATGTGATCTGAACTCAACATCCTCTGCGACAAGATGCACATGACCTGCTTCCCCATCTAAGAGCTTCACACTGAATATAATATGTATTGTAATGAAAAGAACACGTCCACAGCTGCACAGATGTTTTGGGACATAATGCAAGCTCATTGTGTGAACGCTATGGAGCATTCAATCTATTGTGATCCATTTCTCTTTCGTAAGTTTTTCAGCATCCTTCTCATTCCACAATTTTTGTGCTATTTCAACAAATCTTTTATCAAAACATTCAGCTCGTTCAGGAGAAGGGTGATATTACTTTTGATATTGGTGCGACTTTAGCTTTAGCTTTCAGCTACTTTTCAGCTATATTTGTTAATTTCAGCTTTTTTTTAAGCTAATTTCGTAATTTTTGTCCTCATTTGTTTAAACCTAATTCAGCAAACGCGTGTTCTTTCTGTTTTGTTCTGCTAATTTAGGCTTGTTCTTTCATTTCATCTACATGTCAGAATGATATTTAGCTAATTTCAGCCGTTTTTCAGCAAGTTCTTCTCCAGTAAGCATTCACACCGCCTTTTCGCAGGAAATGCAACTTCTCTAGTTTAATTTGTTACAAACGACATGTTGCTAACAAAGTGGGCTTAATTTGAGTGTTCTTCTCCAAAGTCCCTAAAATAAATATTTGCACTACACAAAAAAACCCATCTGGATTCAAATAATCTATTGGCCATGGCTCATTTGTCTCGCTTCTGACACTGCAGTTTAGATAGCACAACCTGTCAATGATGAGTTTACAGCTGCAGTTACACAATCCCATTAGAGGTGAGCCATCATGTTGGAATGCCTTAAGCCAAGTTAACTCTCCTCACTTCTCTGAATTAATGCCCTCACAGTAATGCTTTAGCTCGGATACAACTGTAGGTTCACTGATACTTTTAAGTGATGCTTCCTGTTTAGGGTTCAGTTAGCTTAAAGTATCCGTTTACCTTAACGTTAAGAGCCACTCAACAAGCTTTGATTTCATTTGGTTTGGCGTGTCAGCACAGTTAATATGTTGTTCAAGCCTATCTTTCTAACAGATTAGGAGTATTTATTGCACTAGTTTAAACAGCAGCTCAGTTGCACATTTTCTTTACCAGTCTACTTTTAGTTAGTTAAAGATTATCTATTATTTGTTGTTACAAAGGTTATTATTCTTTTTCAATTCTGGATGGTTTCTGTGTTAGACAGTGGATTCTGTAGCACACAAAGCTGTCAGAAAACAGCTTGAAAGGACAGCTTGTTTTAGAAAATTCCTTGAAGAGAGACTAAATACGTAGGTCTTGGTTCACTTTTCAGCCAGAGGCTTTTGAAAAGGGGAAAAAAGCTTAGAAAAAAAAAGTGTGGAAAATCTGCCATAATGAAAAGCTGCCACGATGAGAAGTACACTGATGTCAGCTAATACCTGACGGGCGATGGATGAAGACTAGATGAGAATGGAGTCACTATCAAAGAGTACAAATGGGTTTTAGGTTCATTAGATGGTCAGATCTGAACAAAAGAGGCCAACTCTGCTTTTCTGTTCTTTGTCAGACCAACTGACTGTAAATGTTTTTGTCTTTGTCAGGCATGTGGATCACATTACTGAGTGACAGTGGAGTGCAGGAGAAAAACTAAAAACAGAGGTAGTGTAGAAGTGAAGGCAGTAATCACAAGGATAAACACTACAAATACTACACACAATAAAATGTTACCAATTTCAGTCAGTGTAGAAGAAGCCACAGAGAGAGGACAATATATTGTTAGTTCAGTATAATCTGGACATTTTAAATCTGTAGGAGGAGTTTAATATTTGTCAATATTTTCTTATGAACCAAAAGGAATTTTGACCCTGAAGTTTTAGTATAATTGCATGCACTGAGTAAAAGTACCCCCCCCCCCCCCCCACAAGTATCAGATCACTGTGTGCGTCTTGCCAGATCATTATCAGGAACAAGAAAAGGAGCAACGTGGACAAACGCCTTAAAGTGGATCTTGATAACTCTTAAAAAATTTAAACGAGGCACTAGAGAACAACTCTACAAGTTCTTCTTATTATTATCTTTAACTTTCACAGATTAAAAAGTTACTTTCATAAAACTATTTAGCAAACATGTAAAAATGAAAATATTCAGCCGACAGAAAGTCAAACAAATTAGTAAACAGTAAATTATGTCTTTGATGAATTAGAACTTTTTTGTTGTGTGTGAAGTTAATGTTTTTTAGAACATAGTAACACACCGACCGTCTTACCAGGTAGAACATTGTTAACAGTTGTGGCGATGTTTATGTCCTGCAGGTGCTCCAAGGTCTCAGTGTGGAAGAGGCGCAGCGTAGAGCCGGAGCTGAACGCGATCCAGATACCCACCCCCGCCACCACCATGTGAGACACCACCATGCCCTCCTCCTGGTGGGCCTCCAACTGCCTCTAGATGAACACAGAACAAGATTATGCAGCCTGGCTATTATCCACAACATTCTCACCACATTAAGGATTAGGTGAAGAAGTCCTAATCTTTACTTGAACTGGGCTGTAAGCTGCTGGACTTCAATCTGAATGGACTGTATGAAAATGAATAATTAGAATAAAAGTGGATTTGTCAGAGAAATCTGAAAGTGAATGATTCAAACATCACATTTAAACACTCAACTCTGTAATATGAAACTATACCAGCTGAAAGAATAAAACAAACAAACCTACTCAGCTTAAAATTATTGACTTGTACTGTGTGTGTGACTAAATGAGCAGCTTTGGCTCAAAATGAAGTAAACCACTCGTTTGCGTTCAGTTTATTATTTTTTTAACTGAGCAGAAATAAAGAGCAACGCTGAAGTGTTGATGTGTTGAACTGGGTAAAGCTCAGGTTAAACGTGGTGTTTGGATGGTTTATTACAGATAGCTACTTGTTGAAAGTGCATGATTTTAAGCTAGACAGAAACATTGTGCAACCCACTGTGTTTAGACTGCATCCACCCTGCAAAGGTAGTTATGTCTACATGCACGAACATGATTAAAAAACAAAGTAAAAGGACACAAAATATATAGTTAACTGAAGAAAACCTATTAAAAAATGACAAATCATTTAAGTGCTTAAAAAACTGTTTCAGCACACACAAGGCCAAGTGATGAATCTCATATTTTAAATATTTCCACTCATCTACCTTGGAAACCAGTTTTGTTAAATGTTGGATTTTCTTTTATATACTGTTGTGCATATAGAGTAGGGCCGGGCGATGTATCGAATATACTCAATGTATCAAATGTTTTTCAACTTAGGATGGTTAAAATGGGTCTATCGCAACCATCGAGTATAATTAGACTTGAAAATCTGTGGACAATTGAAACAGATTTTAATGAGAAAGGGAGGGGTCGGTGAAGAGCACCAGAGTTGAGCCTTTTGTCGTCCAGTGTCTTCAATAGAAAGAGAGAGACAAAGTAACGATAAAGCCGATAAATGAAAATGAGGTTGATCATTTTTATTTAACATGCGATTAATTGATTTGTTTATTGCGACAGGCCTAATCAAAGACGTCAATTTAAGAGATTCTATGCTGGTTTTACATGAAAAAGTGGTGTTAAAAATCTAGATGTATTGCACAACATGTTAGCTTTCTAACATTACCATTGATTTAACAATGACGTTTTATACAATATTCAGATTTTTCTCAAGCTCACCACTTTTTGCTTTTCTTCTCAATCCTTGTCCTCATTTGACTTTACAACAAAATTCATGTTACATATTAAGTTACAATCCAAATCCTTTATCCTAAAAACCCACAATAAGAGAAAAGCAGTTGGTATTGTTCAAAAATATAATATCTACTGTACGCTGTATTAATTTGATATGGTTATAAGTCTTAAAAACAGAACTGTCCTATCTGGTATACTTTTTATGACAACAGCCCTAATAAAAAATAAAAATAAAAAAAACACTTGGGTCACAAATTATTTACTTCTGGAATAATTTACACAGTTGTAGAGATATTGAGTCCCAATACTTCAATGTATTACAGTCCCAGAGCGTGAGACATAAATCTGCTCCACCTTCATTATTTCTATAGCATAGGAGACTGAGGTGGGTGAAGATGATGGAGTTTATCAGGATTTAACAGATTTAGTTGAATAAATCTGGGTATTATTGTATTATACATTTATAAGTGTATTAATATCTGTATATTATTATTAATATTGTATTTGTAAGAATGGTTTGTGAATCTATGAGGATTCTTTCTCATCTCTGTATTGTGTAATTTTTGCCCAGACCTTATTAGTTAAATGTTCATATCTACATTGTTTGTTCACCAGTAAATACATTTTAAATGTAATATTTCTGGAGAGATCACCTTTTCAATTTCTCTTTTAACAGGCTTTCACAGAGTATTTTTGGAAAATATTTTATCGTTTTATCTTTTACTCAGCTTTTCAGCTGTAGATATTTATACAAGTCAGTGGAGAGGAATTCAAATTGTTCTCTGATAAACTTCTTTGAACAGTCCATCCTTACAAAGATCTCCTATAATATACTGTATACCCCTGCTGCTTTTCATCTAGAAGATATTCACTCTGAAAAACCAGAGGGTTAAGATGGGTTGTGCCATAATGAGGTGTTGCGATAGTCATTTAATCTTATACTTTTATGACAATTCTGCTAACAACTTAGCGTCTGCCCTGTTTGACTCTTAATCACTCTGCGCCTATTGTGAAGACAAGAGCCAACAGGCGGGTGGCCCAACATAACGAGCTTAATGAGGCTAAACTCGTTAGGAGAGCGCATGTCAGAAGAACGTTACTATTCCTGGATCCATAGCAGGTGCTCCCATTTCCCAAACCAGGCCAGGACTCGTATGGAATTTTATATTCTAGGATTTTAACAAGAAAAATGAGGCCATTTACATGTGGGCTTTCTTAGTTTTAATATGGTAATCATATAGTACTTTAAACATTATTAACCATTACACTCAAGAAATTCTATCACATACCTCCCCATTCCACATTTGCTAAAATAGCTTTTATAGAGTAACCAAATGCATCCATCATAACCTTGACGAAGTTCTGATTAATTATTTGACCAAGCAGAGATTCAAACAGTTAAAGTCTAACCCACACATGGCGAGTTAAGCAGCCGGTGTTGCATACCTCCACACAGTGAGAGTGGGTGCTGACGATGAAGACTTGTCCACCTGAAGAGGCCCAGAGGTGATCCTCCACAGCCAGCATCGCCTTAACAGGAAGGACTCCCAGCTTCAGTAACGTAGGCTTGTCGTAGCTCCACAAACCATCTGATAGCAACCATAATACATTTCATTCAGAACATTATAAGATATTTAAACACGGGCATATAAAAAAAAAAAAATGCTTGTATTAAACATCACTGGAGCAAAGCCCTCCAGCTTATTGTAGCATCACATTTTTCCTTTACGGCCAAAGAAAAAAAAAGATTTACAGCACATAAACAATACAGCAACAATCAATCTGTTTTTATAAATGCCACATTTAAAAGGTCATCTGCATTTTCAACTCTGCTAATGGTTGATAAGTGGCCATTGATGGTTATCACAGCCTTCACTATGAATATAGATGGGCTGTGAAGTGTTAGTCAGAGCTGAGCTGTATCCCACACACACCTCCTACACACTCTGTTCTACATGTGCCGGGACACACAGCCAGCTCTGGTGAAATCCAACACCCTCTGCACTCCTTTTATAAATATCACTTTTACAATCATTTTATTTACCCAAGAATATTACAGGCGCTTATACATGACGACATAACAATTTAAGGATTTATTGAGTTTAATAGCCTAATAATTTAAGTTGACGTGGGGAACTTTAAGTTTCATTTGCAGGAATCAACAGGACACACTGGAAAGCCCACAAGTCCAGCCCAGAACTGAATATTATATGTATATTCCATGTTTTCTTGACTAATGCAGCCCAGGAGGAGAAAAAGGCCTCACAAAAAAGGTTTAACAGAAGCCTCAAAGACACCTATTGGAAGGAACGCTACCATGCAATGGAAGAGGTTTTTTTTTTTTAGGAAGTGCAACAATTATTGGAAAAGTATTCTCCTGATAAAATAGCTAGATTAGCATTCCAGCAGTGCCCTCTGTGTTATTGCAGCAATGACACTGCGTAGGTGAATGGATGAAGAAATGATCAAATAAAGGAGCAGTAGTGAAGAGACAGGAGTGCCAACTTGCAGGCTTATGCAAGCCCTCCATGCTGAAGTGTGCCTGCCCACATCTCTCTTCATGTCAGTGCCACAGAATAAAAAGAGTGGTGTATAATGCAACATAAGTGCTGATTCAATAGTTACACATTGTTTTCTTGTTTTTTTCCTGTGCGTTTGTTGCTATTCAACTACTTCTGCATACGTTATTATTTTACCTTTTCATGAAATCAAAACCTTCCACTCATTCAGGAAATGGGTGCTGTGACTTTTGATTTTTGTACATTTTAAACTTTTCCAAATATACTGTATACATTTTCTTCTTAATTTACAAATATCGTCTCCATAGAAATTCAATGGGATCACTTAATTTCATTCAAAATCAGTTCTTTTTCTTTTAATTCAGCTTTAGCTTCTACACAGCCTTTTGCTACTTTTAGCAATGCCTCTTGCTACATTTAGCTTTTATCTGGACTTATGCCATTTTTAGCATTGAGCTAGTCTTTTCTTACTTAGTCTCTATAGACAGACTTATGCTACTTTTAGCTAGCCATTTTGTTATTTTTAAGCTAATTTTTTGCCATTTTTAGCTAGCCATTTTGCTGTTTTTAGTTAGCCTTTTGCTACCTTTAGCTAGCCATTTTGCGGTTTTTAGTTAGCGTTTTGCTACTTTAAGCTAGCCATTTTGCTGTTTTTAATTAGCCTTTTGCTACATTTAGCTAGCCATTATCCTGTTTTAGTTAGCGTTTTGCTACTTTTAGCTAGCCATTTAGCTGTTTTTATTTAGCCTTTTGCTACTTTTGACTAGTTTTTTTGCTTCTTTTAGCTTCAACAACTCCATTTCAGCTTTAACAAAATTTCAGCAATGAATCATGCAATCAGCATTAGCATGGCATGTTCACAGAAAATGCAGTTTGTTTTATTTTGCTATGACTAATCATGTCTAATATCTACAGAAAAACAGTGATGGTAGAGGACGGATGATTAGAGAACAACAAAGTTCATATTCAGGTCGTGACAGTGACGTGCAACCTCTGCTGTATCACTGCCTCCCGCCTTTTCAATTTCTGACACAGTCATTCACTTAGGAAACGGCAAACATGGCAGAACTAGGTTGCCAGCTTAAGAAACACTGCACCGACAACAGGGTCGCATTTCCCGTGCAGCTTCAGAAAATCAGCACTGAAGGCATTAAAGGCAAAGCAGGATTTGTGTCTGCTCAGTTGTTTTTGATATTTCGTCTTTACAAACTTTGAGGGTGCTCTTTGATCAGCTTAGCCCAGTTCTGCTGAGCTCACCAAGGTAAACCGTGGCTCTGCTTAAAAACTAATTGCAAACAGGCAGTGACAAAGCACTTGAGCAGCATTACAGCATCAAGGAAGTATTTTTTAAAGTATGCAGCACGATTCATTGCAGCATAATGTTCCAGACATACAGCAACACACCATACAGCTGTTTACCAACTAATGTGAAGACTAGAACAAGAGAAAAACCTGAAATACAAGCCAACAAGGCATAACAAATCGCCCAAAAACATTCCTGAACATTTGCGTACACCCTGGACGTGCCTTCCTGACAAACTGCATGTTGACAGAGGGAGGAGCAAGACTCGTTTCCCCTCATGCTTTCTGTCTGGAGGCCATTATCCATATTCAAAATGTCTGCTTTTATTGCTCTCCCGTGCATGCAAACCTATAGATAAACTTCAAACCAGCAAAATCTGGAGTCTAATCACTTTCAACTTGTAAGAGAGGAATTACAGGATGGTGATAACAGGATTAATACTTAACAGCCAAGAACGACAAGGATTCACCTCCCTTATGTTTAAAATTAAGCTTATCTTTACTCGCAGAGAATAGGGATACAGAATCGCAGGCAAATACTGTCTGCATCAGTCTGGAAGCCAATGACAGATGGAACAAAGCTGGAAATGTGAAAACTGTGGGAAGTGTCTGACCCAGAGTGTGGTGTCTGTACTTGGAAGCAAAAGAGGAAAGCATTAAATGGGTCACGGCTAACATAGCTGCTTCTCCCAGACAACAAAGCAAACGGAAACACAGGCTAAATACACAGCAGAGCAGCCCCCTGACCTGAAACTACACACTGACGGCCACACCTTGGATTTAGTGCTGATAAACACCAAATTGCGTCAGTAAGACCCTGAACTTTCTATTATTGTTGTAGCTAAATGTTCTCAAATACACCGTGAGATAAAAGTTGGTACATCAAAGAGCCTAACATAAGTAAAATAACTGAAATAGCGCTACAAGCTATATAAATAAAACCTAAACTAGCTGAATTACTTCAATAAACAGCTATAAAAGTGTGTTAATAATAGTTGTATGAATAAACTTTGTAAAGGCAGAATATAACGAATGGGAAGCAATGCTTTCACAAATTAAAAAGCATCCCTTCCACTTTTTAAAGGACGCACCTTGTGATCTGGAGTAAATGGCCACGGAGCCACAAACCAGGCCGACGTACAGAAAGTGCTTTTTATAGACCAGGCTGGTGACTGGAGACTTGTCTGGGGTGAAGAAATGCTGCAGACGCACTTTCTTGGACCGCTGGCTGCTCTTATACACAATAATGCTGAATGGAAGAAACGTATAATCAATACAAGTAGAATGATTAGTAAAAATGTATCTGAATGCTGTGATTCTGAACGTAAATATGAAAATGGGCTAAACCTCCTAAAGACTTCTGAAATATGTTGATTAGTTCCCATTGGTGGATGTGTATCCGTACCTGCCCTCTTCCATGCCTAAACAGACAGTGGGGGTGTCAGTTGTCTTTGCAACGAGAACCTGGCAGTTCTCCGGGACATTTTCACTGTTCTCATGAAGTTGTTCTGTTGGGACGTAGGCCATGCAGAGGATTTGAGACTCCACATTGAAACACTCAGTCACTTTAGGGCTGGAGTTCTGCATGGCCACTATGGCGATTTGGCCCATTTGATTAGTGCAACTTGCAACCTGAGCAAAGAGAAAGAATAGTTTTAGTTGATTAAAAGCTAGAGACATATTTAAAACTGCATCATTTGTTATAGGAGGGGCACTGCACAGAGAACTTCAACATGAAGACCTTGTTGGATTTTCTAAGTGAGACCCCGCGTTATTTGTTCTGTGTCGTGCAGGATTATAGCTCACCCAGACACAACCGTGGCCCACGACAGGAGAGTCAGCCGTGCTCTCTGTGTTAATGTGGGGCTCTGGATTGTGAACAGCACATTCCACCTGCCAAAGAATAGGAAAACAAAGAGATGAAGAAAAAGGAAAATGTTAGATGAATGGACGGTTTGAGCTGATGAAAAAAATAAATAAAAAATAAATCACTCAGAAAATCCATTTGCATTGCTAGCATCAGGTCTAGCTGTCACAATAAACAATAAATTAATTAATCACATAAATGAAAATTATCAACCTCATTGTCATTTATCGGCTTTATCGTTTCTTCGTGTCTCTCTTTCTGCTGAAGACACTGGATGACAAGGCTCAACGTTTGTGCTCTTCATTGACCCTTCTCTTCTCTTTTAAATCCATTTTAATGGTCCAAAATCGTGTTTTTGGATCGTTAAAAGCAGCTAAGCTGAGAAGCTAAACTACGAGCTAAGCTAACAGGCTGACCTCGAGGAAAAAAAAACGTCTTGTCGAAGCTCCAAAATTCACAGTTGAAACCCGTGTCTTCGTAGAAAAAGCAGTTTTTCTTCTGCAAAAAAGAATCTGAGAACTTGTGTACTGATTTTTTATTAAAGCTTTGCGTGACAAATTCTATGCTAAAGCGCTCAAACCACACTGAGCGTCCGCCATTTTGAGAACCGAAAAAGAGGAAGGCGAGACAAAAGAGGAAGGCGAGACAGCCCATGTCACGTCAAGGGGCCTCCCTTCCATTTTTCTTAAAGAGTCATGCCACTCTGCTCTCTCACTATCCATCCTTCAGTTCAAATAGTCTTGTACTGCCATCCAATTGTCAAAAAAGGTACTACACACAAAAATTAAACATTTCTTCTTAAATTTGACAATAATTACTAAATTGTGTCAAATTTCAAACAATATTATAGTTTATCGCAATAATTTCTGAGACAATGGCCCAGCAAAATTGGTTATCGTGACAGGCCTAGGCTCCAACTACAAAACGGATTCCAAAAAAGTTGGGACACTTAACAAATTGTGAATAAAAACTGAATGCAATGATGTGGAGATGGCAAATATCAATATTTTATTTGTAATATAACATAGATGACAGATCAAAAGTTTAATCTGAGTAAATGTAACATTTTAAAGGAAAACATGTTGATTCAAAATTTCACAGTGTCAACAAATCCCAAAAAAGTTGGGACAAGGAGCAATAAGTGGCTGGAAAAAGGAAATTGATCATATAACGAACAGCTGGAAGACCAATTAACACTAATTAGGTCAATTGACAACATGATTGGGTATAAAAAGAGCTTCTCAGAGTGTCAGTGTCTTTCAGAAGCTAAGATGGTAAGAGGATCACCAATTCCACCATTGTTGCGCAGAAAGATAGTGCAGCAATACCAGAATGGTGTTACCCAGCATAAAATAGCAAAGACTTTTAAGTTACCTTCATCAACCGTGCATATCATCAAAAGATTCAGAGAATCTGGAACAATCGCTGTGCGAAAGGGTCAAGGCCGTAAAACTCTACTGGATGTTCGTGATCTCTGGGCCCTTAAACGTCACAGCACCTCAAACAGGAATGCCACTGTCAAGGAAATAACAGAATGGGCTCAGGAATACTTCCAGAAAGCATTGTCAGTGAACACAATCCACTGTGCCATCCGCCGTTGCCAGCTGAAACTCTACAGTGCAAAGAGGAAGCCAATTCTAAGCAAGCTCCACAAGCTCAGACGTTTGCACTGGGCCACGGGTCATTTAAAATAGTGTGGCAAAATGGAAGACTGTTCTGTGGTCAGATGAGTCACGATTTGAAGTTCTTTATGGAACACTGGGACGCCATGTCATCCAGACCAGAGAGGACAAGGATAGCCCAAGTTGTTATCAACACTCCGTTCAGAAGCCTGCATCACTGATGGTATGGGGTTGCATGAGCGCTTGTGGCATGGTCAGCTTGCATGTCTGGAAAGGCACCATTAATGCAGAGAACTATGTTCAGGTTCTAGAACAACATATGCTCCCATCTAGACGTCATCTCTTTCAGGGAAGACCCTGCATTTTTCAACACGATAATGCCAGACCACATTCTGCAGCAATCACAACATCATGGCTACGTAGGAGAAGGATCCGGGTACTAAAATGACCAGCCTGCAGTCCAGATCTTTCACCTATAGAGAACATTTGGCGCATCATAAAGAGGAAGGTGCGACAAAGAAGGCCCAAGACGATTGAACAGTTAGAGGCCTGTATTAGACATGAATGGGAGAGCATTCCTATTTCTAAACTTGAGAAACTGGTCTCCTCTGTCCCCAGACGTCTGTTGAGTGTTGTAAGAAGAAGGGGGGAGCCACACAGTGGTAAAAATGGACTTGTCCCAACTTTTTTGGGATTTGTTGATGCCATGAAATTTGGAAACAACAGATTTTTCCCTTAAAATTATACATTCCCTCAGTTTAAACTTTTGATCTGTGATTTGTGTTCTATTCTGAATAAAATATTAGATGTTGGCACCTCCACATCATTGCATTCAGTTTTTATTCACATTTTGTTTAGTGACCCAACTTTTATGGAATCCGGTTTGTACCTGAACTAACCAGCCTCATATATACACCAACCATTAGTGGCGATGATCTCTATAATAAGATCTGATTTTACTCCACCCATCACTGACCTGAGACTATACCTGCAGTCTGTGAACAACTAAACCTTTTAGCTTTGGCATGACACATTTAGCACTGGGTATCTGCAGGTTAACACAAGTCAAATTTAAGACTTTTAAAGACCTTTATAATGCCACCTTGAATGAAATTTAAGACAAAAAAAAACAAAAAAAACAACAAAAAAAAACAAATAGAAGCGATGGCTGAGGGATTGTGAATGTATTACAACCAATTGTGTCACTCACTGAGACACATTCAAATACAGTTTTTGTCTGTTTATTCAACATAAAGTGATACCTGTATGTACAAGTGCAGTTATTTGATTGGAAACATAAAAAAAAAGACATGTACTGAATACATTCATGGCATGAGGCTCAGTTGCGTCACATACACAAAGACGGCGTCCATCCAACTGTTGATACATTAGCACCAACACATGATTTAGTTGTAAAATAGCTAGTAGTAGTTATAAAGTAGCCTCAGTCACCTCAAGACACAGTCGGTTTGAACCATAGATGGTATAAAAGAAAACATAGTATGAATTAACTAATTTTTTTATTTTTATTTGCCAGACTGACAGATTTCCCCCCTAAAATGAAAAAAAAAAAAAATAAAAAAAAATACAATTGTGTTTGCAGGATTTCAGCTCATGTACTAATTTAATACCATTTATTTTTCATATTTGATCATCTATTAAATTACCTTTATCACAGTACAGTTACCTCTCAGTGTGATTCCAAATACAATATAATCAAGTTTAGCACATCCAAACAGGTAAAACACCTTGTTGCTAAAAAACACTGTAGAATCTAATTTAGTAGATATTTATGATAAACTTCAAACACCTGAAGTGGACTCTCACAGAGAGACCTTAGAGTTTTGGGGTAAAAAAAAAAAGTTACACAGAGACATACTTCTGCTGCAATCTGGGGCATACAAATATTCATCTTTTAGCATTAATATTGTTTATTTAATCAAACTAAAGCAGCGGACGCAGCCAGTTCCCTCTCTCACATGAGTGAGCGCTTTCTCTCAGATTCAGAGTTTGGTCACATGCACAAGTTGCACGTGTCTGTACGATGATGAAGACGCTCCAAACACATCAACATTTAATACAAAGTTAGATTTAAAATACAAAAGTCCTGGGGAGGTCAGGGCACGTTGTGGGAGGAGGGGGTGTCCTCCTTGGAAAATAGTCCAGGAAACACTGATTGTTGCTCTCACCTGCATCCTGTCTCTGGTCTGGACTCATCGTGAACCAGACAGCACGACCCACCCTGCTCTGCTCGGATTGGGTCAAACTGTGGTTCTGGTTCTCTTTATTTGTAGAAAGCAGCATCAGTTTAATTCCTGTACCGTGATTTGATTGGATGGCTTTAAACACGTTTTCCCTCCCTCCTCATTTCTACAGATGAAGGAAATCCATCCTGGAGATAAAAAATGTTCAACCCTTCTGCCTCGTCAAATTTTGACCAGTGAGTACCGTATTTTCCGCACTATACATCGCTCCGGATTATAGGTCGCATCAGTCAAAAAATACCTCATGAAGAGTAGAAAAACATTTTAAAAAAAGTTACTTTGGCGTACAAGTCGCATTTATTATGCATCGCACTGACGCCCGGGAAACGTGGGCCAGTGTCGCGCCAAAAATCCATTGGCTGCCAAAAATCCATTGGCTGCCAAAAATTGTTTTGCAGCCGGGGGAGCACGCAAGGGGAGGACTCGCTGTTGCAGTTCTTCAAAATTTAACAAGATTAACACATAAAAACAATTATTTGTTTGCTCAACATTATTGCAACGACGTGTCTCAGTTGAACTTTTTCCTCAATAAATGCACTTTAATGGTCAAAACAACCGCATTTCGCCTGGGCGGCGCGGTCGCGTCACACTGTAGAGCTGTCAGTATGAATTGAGCATTTAACGCGTCAGTCAAAATTTGCATCATGAATAGGGGGAAAAAAAAAAATACAAGTACCTTCGGACTATACATTGCAAAACTGGCCCAACTATGAAAAAAAAAAACCAGCGACTTATAGTCCGGAAAATACGGTAATGTACTTAAGATCAACTTGCATATTTTCTAACGAATTTAAGACATTTTAAGGCCTTTAGTTAGATGCGTGAATTTAAGATTTTTAAGGATGTGCAGACATCCCGTTTAGGTTTTGTTGTAAAAAGCAGCAATAACAGTAAAGCTTCAACTGTCAGTAGTTTATACCTACAGCGTGCTCAAGTAAAGATTAAAATCCTCCCACAGATATTCACAAGTTGTTGTTGTTGTTGTGTACTTAAGGCTAGCTTCACACCAGCTGCGCAGCAAATTTGTGGCATGTATAAAATTATGACTTTCATTTGGTCTCCCATATTAAAATATTAATGCATGAAGAACAGATGTGCGAGAAACGCATTACAGTTGTCTCTCGCACCACTCTGCAGCCTGCAGGCATTTAAAGTTCCCATTTGATGACTTTTCTCAAACAAGAGATCAATGAAGTGGAATGAAGGGTCCAATTAAGAGGCAACAGTCCATATTTGGACCATTATCAATTCTGTGTGCATGTTGTCAGAAACAAATGTCATCTTTTTCTTTACTTCAGCTCAGAATGAGCGTAGTGAGGAGACAGGAAGCGAGCAGCCCAGGCTGGATTATTGATGGTGTTAACCTTTAAAATTTAAGGGCCTGGGGTGCCGCTCTAACTCACCGAGTAAAGCGCGTGCTCCCATAAATTAAAGCTGAAGCTGTTTGAGTCTGACCTATAGCCATTTGTTGTAGATCACTCTCTCCACCCCCCAAATAAAAATGTTAGGACTCACTGTGGGTATCAAAACCACAAGCTTTTATCAGCATCTACTCCAACCAACTGAGCTAACCAGTAAATATGTTAAAAGTTTCTCTTAAATCTTTAATAATATGTTTATAGTTTAATCAGCTACAATACAATAAAATAAGTCTCGCTTTTAAAAGTACTCTTAAGACTATACAACTAAAAAAGCAACCTCTAGTTTGTTTTGAGCTGCAAACTTTAGATAGAATAATCTAAAGCAGGGGTGTCAAACTCGTTTATAAAACGGGGCCAAAATTAAAACTTTTTTCAAACTAAGGGTCAGTTTCAGAATCTACATTAACTTAAGTCAGATACCAACATCTTTTCTTGGTTGCAGGTTCCTCAACAAGAGTTTGATTGGTCTCATTTGACGTTCTCTGTTGCACTTTTGACTTCATAATCAAAGATTACTGAAAAAATTCAAGTGAAAATAGTATTTGACTTTTAAAATATCATCTTGGGGGCCAGATGAGATGTCAACGAGGGCCACATTTGGCACCCAGGCGACATATATGGTCTAGAGTTTTATTTTTATTTTTATTTTTTTAAGGATTTTTGGTGCAATAATTATCTGACTTTATAAAAAAAAAAAAGTTAAATCTATTCAACATTACACAAACAGAAAAGGAAAAGACGTGAAAAAAGCTTGACTCTCCCATCAGGAAATCCTTGCTGAATGGGCTTACAGTCTGCAGTAAACAACACACTTATTGTGTATAAATACAAGAAAGAAGCCATCTAACAAAGTTTTAGAGAAGAGCTTTACCTTGAACTCTTGTAGTTTGGACATAACAACAGGCATCTGTCGAAGCAAGAGAGGATGTTTCTGCTTTTTGATTTGATTACCATCATCATCTGCAAAGAACCAGCCCTGCAGGTTGTCCTCCTCTGGTTTAAAACACAAAAAGCTCAGTTCAGTTTGGTACAAAACAGTCATCTGTTTTTATTAATAACCTCCACGGGGTCATTTTGCAAAACTTACATCATCATATCGAGGAATTCAACCATTATGAAAAGCTGGAACACAGCTTTTACGTTTGGTTTGGATTAAAAAGAAAAACTAGAAGCCGAGGTGATATTTAGCTATACAAAAACAGGGTTATGGTGAATAATGAACAAAAATAAATACATTATTCGTGTTTAGACAGAATAGGAAACAATGAGACACACGGACAGAGTGCACTGTACCTAGAGCCAACTTGGCCATCTGCAAGTTACTGATCCATGACTGTTTGACTGCTGGGCTGTGTGTATTAAACACTGCACTGAAGTATGTTGGTTTACCCATCCTGCCAAAAAAATGAAAAAAGAAAAACAAACACAAACAATGATAAAAATCAAGATGTTCTTAACTATCGTTATTTTACGATGTACGATGAAACATTTGAACTACTTTCCTAAATCTACTGGACTTTTCCTTTTTGTCAATACGCATGATGTTGCTGCAGACTGGAACATGTGACAGCGTCAATCATCAGCTTGTGCAGACTCTGTGCAGCCGTGTTTGCCTGTTGTGCGTATTCAGATGTCTTAAATGGAACCCTGCTGTCAATGACTGAAGCGGAGAAGTGTTGCGATTTGAAATGAAGGGATCAGCAGAGCAATGAGAGAGGAGCAGCTGTGTTCCCAAACATACTCTTAGATAATCTCAGCAGTTGAATGCAGTAAGGATGAGTGATGGAATGAGAAAGAAAAAAATACAGGAAAAAGAAAAAACAGTTCTGATCAATGAATATGGGAAAGAGACAAATTAAGATGCTCCCTAGGGGACCATGTGGGGTCTATAACAGAGTGTGTTAATGTTCAACATGAGTGTGTTCAGCAGCTGGGTAGACTCTGGTTGCAAACACTGTTGTGCAGTTCATCTCTTGTGATTCACGCCTCAGATTAGACCTGGTGGAGACGCTTGTTTATCCTAAATGTGCTTTAATTCGCTCTTAAAATCAAATGCATATAGGGAGGCTACAAGGAGAAAAAGAGGGTAAAAGGGGATAAAGATTATCCTGGGATAAACAAAACACTGTAGGGGGCAAAGCCCGACTGTGTGTTTATCACGAGAGTTCAAATTAAGTTAAACGTGTGTGTATTTATTTGTGTAAAAAAAACACACTTGTCTTGTTTGCCGGGCAGCTGGAGTTGAATCCTGCACCGGTCAGCTGCTCTAATCTCCTCTTCCTTCTTCAGAATTAGCCTCTGGAGACCGGATACCCAATCCTGTGCCACGGTGGGATTCACATTCTGCACGGAAAAATATTTGAAGAAAAACAATAAAAAATTGGAAGAAAATAAAGTCATAACATTGAGGAGAGAAATAGTGGAATATCGGGGGGGGGGGGGGGGGGGGCAAAAAAGCAGTGAATGAAGTGAATAAATGTATTGTGGAGCATTTCATCATAGTTTATAATAAAATTAATTCAGATTGATTTTTTTTTTTTTTTTTTTACACTGAGCAATATAAAATAGATATTACTTCCACTTGGATGTCTAAAAAGTCTTGTGGTGTGTAAATCTTAATGTGAAAATTGAGATTTTGGTTTGAAGTGTTGCATTGTTTTGCACTACCTTGGCTGTTAATAGTATTTAGGACAATTTGTGTTCCGTGTTGTAAACTTGGACTTTAATAAAATCTTCATATGATTAATAATTAGTCATATTATATAGAAATCAACAAAAATAATATACAATATCTCTGTCAGTGGATCAACTCTGAGGATTACAGAGAATTGGCTGCAAGTGTCCGGTTTAATATTCTCACAGTAAAATCAACAGAATATTTGGCCTTAAAATGAAATCATAAGTGATATCATGAGGGAGTTTTTTTCTTTCCACTGCTGCCTTTATGCTTGCTCAGAATGAGAGTTTGCGACAAATTTAAACTCAAAGCAGTCTGCTCCTCAGATAAATAGTAACTTACTTTTTATCTATACGAGTGTTTCTGTTCAGTGCCCTGAGATGTCTTCTGCTGCGACATGGTGCTATATAAATAAACTGAATTGAATCTTGACCTTTCAGTGTGGCCTCAAACACATATTTAAGAAATAAAATTTGTTCTTGAACTTCTCAGCCCTGTTTTAGGTCCCGCTCTCGCCATTTAATTTGCCTCTTCATTAATCTCCGTCCCCTGCTTCATGTGCTTGGACACACGTCTCTTCATGACTCTACCTCCCAGCCTGCTCCTGACAGACCTACCAGCACAGCACAAACAGCCTCACATCCTCATGCTGTGCTCTGCAAACTAAAGCTGTGTGTCACCAACACAGGCAGTCTTTGTGTGGACACTTGATATAACAGACCTAAATACAGTAGTCCCTCGCTACTTCACGCTTCGTTTATCATGGTCTCACTATCACGGTTTTTCAAAATGGATGAGCCGCACGATCGGCACGTAATTTTTATTTAAAATAAATTGTTTAAAATTTAGCACCTGTGTGCAGCCCACAGCTGCGGTAGAAGCTTCCTTCTGCCGTGTGTTATATCTCCGTTCTGCACCGAAGTGGGCGTGGCCAAAAGCTCTTGCAGATGGCAAAGTGCAGCAGGAGGCAGAGAGCTGAAATCATGACATGCTGTGCTCTTTTAGAGCATTTAGAGTTTAGAAACATTGTTTAGAACATTGCAAGAGTGTGGGAAGGGTTTAAAATGCCTTCATATGAATATTAAAATAAACTACTACTTACTACTACTAGGCCTGTCACGATAAATTTTACTGGGCGATTGTCTCAAATTACTGTGATAAACAATTGTTTGAAATTTTACAATAATTAATAATTATTGTCAAATTTAAGAAGAAACAGTTCATTTGTTTTGAATGTAGTACCTTTTTTGACCACTGTGTGGCAATATAAGACTGAACGGAAGGATGGATAGTGAGGGAGTGAGCAGTGTGTCTAAGAAAAATGGGATGGAGGCCCCTTGACATGACATGGGCTGTCTCTCCTTCCATTTTTTCCCCGTTTCTCAAAATGGCAGATGCTCAGTGTGGTTTGAGCTCCATCCATCCATCCATCCATCCATCCATCCATCCATCAATCATCTTCCGCTTGTTCCGAAGTCGGGTCGCGGGGGCAGCACCTTTAGCAGGGAAGCCTAGACATCTCATTCCACAGTCACCTCTTCCAGCTCTTCTGGGGGGGATTCCAAGGTGTTCCCAGGCCAACAGAAAGACAAAGTCTCTCCAGCGTGTCCTGGGTCTTCCCCGATGTCTCCTCCCAGTCGGGCATGCCCGAAGCACCTCCCTAGGGGTCATCCAGGAGGCATCCTTACCAGATGCCTGAACCACCTCAACTGGCTCCTCTCGATGTGGAGGAGCAGCAGTTCTACTCAGTCTCTCCTGGATAACCGAACTTCTCACCCTATCTCTAAAGGAGAGTCCAGCTACCCTGCGAAGGAAACTCATTTCAAACGCCTGTATCTGCAATCTCATTAACGGTCACTACCCAGAGCTTGTGAGAGTGATTTGAGCTCTTTAGCATAAATTTTTCACACAAAGCTTATAATAATAATAAAAAAAAACAAAAAAAAACCGAACAAAACAAAAAAAATCAGTAAACAAGTTCTCAGTTTATCTTTGCAGAGAAAAACAACTTTTTACACAAAGGCATGAGTTTCAACAGTGAATTTTGGAGCTTCGACAAGATGGAGGCTTTTTCCCCCAAGGTCAGCCTGTTAGCTTAGCTTCTCAGCTTAGCTGCTTTTAACGACCCAAAAATGCGATTTTGGATGTTTAAAATGGATTTTAAAGAGAAAAGAGAAAGGGAGGGATCAGTGAAGAGCAACGGAGTCGAGCCTTTTGTCATCCAGTGTCTTCAGTAGAAAGAAAGAGACACGAAGAAACAATAAAGCCGATAAATGAAAATGAGGTCCATAACGAATTTCCAATTTCATCATGTGAATCATCTATTTAATGTTTATCACGACAGGCAGGCCTACATACTACTACTGTATCCCCATTTCATGTTTTTTCCACTTATCACAGTGGGGGTGGTCCCCAACACCAGTGATAAACGAGAGAACACTGTAGCCAAAATCACAACTAATAGAACACCAGTTTAGTTAAGACAAAATGATTACATCACTATATGTACCTGCTTAAATACTGCATCCCTACATGAAATCCTACTGTATACAAGATGTCGTCAAAATAAAAAAAGAAATGCTTGTTTGTCTCACACAAAACATTATTTCTCTAATTTACTTAGAGTTTCAAATGATGTGACTTTATTATGTGTTTGTGTGTTTCGTGCAGGTATAAAGTACCTGATAGTTTCCTTTCAGGCTGCTGATCATAGTGGAGATCTGATTGACCAAACTGAGATCGTGGATTAGGTTTTGCAGGTCTTGGTACAGCTGACCAGGGCCCATGTACAGTTTGTCTACAAAGAAACAGAAGACGTCTTTAAAAAAAAAAAAAAAAAAAAAAAAACTTTGCAAAATTTTACAGTTGACGAAAAGCTGCTGGCAGCTCAAATCTCAGAATCTGAAAGACTTTATAAACTAGTGACAAGAAACTACAATGATATCGAAAAGTCTTAGCTGTTAACATTTCAGTCAGAAAAAAGTGGAACTACAGGAAACAACGAACAAGGTCAGTCTGATGAGAGCAGCAGTCAGAAATCAATAAAGATCAATCAGCTGGTTTCCCACAGGCTGCCATGACAGCTCTGCAAACTTGCAAGTGATTTTCATCTATGTCTCTCTTTGTTCACAAGTACGATTAGCTTTCAGAGGTCGTTTGCTTTTGCATGTCCACTTAAATCGTCTTCCCCCAACATCATGAGCGCACTGCTCCTAGGTATTCTTAAGTTTCTTTAATTACTGGTCTGCAAAAACTTAAAAGTTAAAATCAAATCTGATGAATCTGACATAATGAGAACAGCTAATATGTTGTAGATTTGAACAAAAAGAAAACTGCAGCTTGTTTTGTGCACAGACAAAAAACAGTATTATTACTGCACATTGCATGAGTTTTATGGCACATGATGCAAGTACTGCAGAAGTATAACCATGACGAATACCCATCAGTTGGCAAACATTACCATTTGACAAATGATTGAGTTAATATGTAGTTAATTCAACGACAACACTTTTAAATAAGTTCCGGCTCCAACAACAAAACTGCATAAATCCATTTAGCTAAAGACAAAGTTCGAGTGTAAGATTTTTATTTCTACATGGGCAGTTGTTGCAGTTGTAACACATATTTACACTACTATGTTTCTATCTTTAGTTTGTCAACAAGATGCTGCTCACACTAAAAGCAATTCTTTGTTAAATATAACTGAAAAGCCCCTCCTTGCAGGAAGCTAAAAACAGACCATGCTTGATGCATTGATGGCAGCTGCAATAGTTATACATTTAGTCAGCAGCAAAAAAAAAAAAAAAAAAAAAAACCCTGAGCAGTGTAATAATAACTCTGTCTAATGTAACAATAACAGAAAATTTATAGTGTCAAATGTTTAGCGTAGTTTGGATCAAATTTAAACTTAAAGGGTAAAGTTGAATTTTATAAGCTTGTTTTTTTAATGATGTAATAAATCAACTAAAATAACATAAAGGTCATAAACTTGACATTTTATTCCATCTTTTTTTTGTGTATTAATTGCTGCACGAACACAAATAATAATAAGAATGACCGTTAATATAATTGAAGTGCCCATTCCCAGAGACTAGACCGGCCCCGTGCAGCCTGATTTAACTGGGATCTAGCTTTCTGAATGGTTCTTTGTGTAAGTGCCAAATAGTGAGTCTGCAAAACAAAACAATCCCGGGAGCATCAGAACCAAGTCAGTGATTCCTGGAAGAAAAACAACACCCCCCTTTTAAGAAACAAACAATATATCAGCAAATTATGGACTTGCGATGAGAGCAGCAGGTAAACATAGCTGCAAATGACCAGTTTGCACGGTGGTCCGTTTATCTGCAGTACACAGGACTAAACTAAACAAAAAGAGTTGACATCATATGCTGGAGAAACTTTTCAAAGCCTTCATTTGGCTGATGCCTGAGCTGTTTTTGGCTAAAACAGAGGAGAAGCTATTGTTTCCACTTGTCAAAGGTTTACCAGACAGCACACACACATTTCTTTCCACACAGAAAACTAAAATGAAATTAACTAAGATTACTCACTTTTGGTCCAGGTACATTGTAATTATTAGGGCTGAACAATTAATTGCATTTGCAATAATATCGCAATATGATAAAACGAGATTTTCTTAGATTTTTATCGTGAAGGCTGCGATTTGACTGGTCACATGATATGCGAGTGAGTCGAGCAGAGCAAAGCAGAGCAAAGTAGAGCAAAGCAGAGCAAAGTAGAGCAAAGCAGAGCAGGGAGCGGAAGAAGTCAAGACTGCATTTTAACCAGTTGCACAATGGTGTCAGGCTCAACAGAAGCGGACACATCTGAAAGTTTGGTACCAAAGATGGGCAGCACGTCCACTGTTTGGAATTATTTTGGCTATTAAAAAAGATGACGCTGCGCAACGACATGTATTGTGCAGAACCTGCCTTGCTGCTGTTGCTACCTCTCGAGGGAACACCACAAATCTTTATCAACACTTAAAAAAACACCACAAAGCCATTTACGATAGTTGCATGTTTAGAATGCCAACGACTAGTGCTTCAACTTCAAGCAGGCAAAGTACCAGCCGACAGGGATCTGTTTGAAGGTATTACTACGTATGAACATAATTGAAATGGCACACGGAAATAACTCGAGCAATATAAAGGAGTTCATAGCTAAAGACATGATGCCCATTAATGTAGTGACCAAGCCTGGATTTACAGCTTTGGTGCACACAATGGATAAACGGCAAAGAGCGTCCTCGCGCACACATTTTAGCCAAGTTGCTATCCCGAAGCTACACAAAATAAAATGCAGAAACAGAGTGACAGCAGAGCTGAATACTGTGGCGTTTTTTGCAACTGAAACAGATTTATTGCTTGTGTTCGTTGAAAAATACACGAGAAGACATTGAAAAATAATCGCATATTAAAATCGCAATTTTCCAAAATCGTTCAACCCTACTAAGTATATCTTACTACAGCAAAACAACATATAATAACACCAACATCCACAGAGTCCAATGCATTTGAAACTAAACTTTTACATTACAACACAATATTCAGATTACTGTGGTCTTTTGAGACATTAAAATAAACCATATTCACTTGAGTCATCCCATCAGGTTAGTTGTGAGGTAATAAACCAGTTGATCAGTCTTAGCTCTAAAACCCTGCAGTCAGAGCAGATGATGCTCAGGTCTGTGTGCCATCTGTTACACTAATCTAATGACTGCACTGTTGGTTTGGCTCAGAAAAATAAAGGCAGAAGGATGCTGTTAACTGGCATGTGATGGTGAACACAGTGAATTAAAGAAAAAGGTCAAATGAAGATGTGTGAAAGTAGAAAGTGGGGGCTAATTTCCGACTGAACACAATTTTCATTATTCAGACAGTTATAGTCTGTGCTGCAACTTTAAAAAGTTTATAATAAAGACAGGAAACTTGGCAGTAAAAGTCTGAATATTAGGTTACAGAACAAGAGAAAACACACAAACTGGAGGTGCGGCAGAGCTACAGAGGGCAGTGTGTAATTTAAGAGTAGTAATTCCAGTCTACAACCACTGGCAACTAGAAGGGAGAGCCTTTGACCTCTCCTTGAACACTGCAGCCATTTGACAGACCAGCCATAACGCACTATCAAAGCACTCAACAACAAACCAAAACTACTTCAACACAAACGTTTAAAAACACAAAAGCAACCCCTAAAATAAAAAAAATTGCAGCGCTGTTACCACAAAGTCATACTCTCTTTATCCGCATTCGTCTGATCGGAGGCTTTTAAAGTGGCTGAGCAGCTGTTTGTGACGGAGCAGTGGAAAAACTGAAATCATTGGACTCAGCAGCCAACAGACCAAAGGACTGCAGAAAGGAAAAAAAATGGGGACTGGGACGGATACACAGAATTAGTCATTTGTAGATGTGTACTGACTTTTTAAGGCATCTGGCATCTACAGATTTTTAAATCCTCAGCTATGATGGTTTACCACTTCTCAGTGCGACCGTGTGAAACTGTTTCGTACTTGGCTTGGCGTTGATCACCACCTTTTCCCCGGAGTGAGGGGTCGGGTGGCGGCTTCTGTCCACCATGTCCTCGCTCGAGCCAAACTCCAGCACTTCCACGAAGCTTAGAGGCACACTCCATTTCAGGAGGAACCTCTGGTCGAGTGGAGCATTTCCACTGCCACTGCCACTCCCACTACCATCCTGACATCTGTATAGAGTAAATATATGTATATAAATAAGGTTATATTGTGAAAAAGGCAATTTGTTTTCAGAAAACATGGTTCATCTTCTCTGCCGTGTGTGATTTAGATAAATAAGATATGAAGGAATTATATATGGAGGGAAATGTCACATTTTTGTACAAGTCATTTCCAGGATTATCATTCAAGAAAAATGCTAGGAATTTTTTTGAATAAAAAAAAAAAAAAGGTTAATTAGAAGTTTGGTTTGAGGTCTTTCTTACCGGATATTGGGCGTGGCACACATGAGCACATCATTGAGGAGGAAGAGGCGTCGCTCCTTGGTTTTAATGATTTCACCACGCTCGTTGTAGACGGTCTCTACCATGTCGTCTGAACGAATCAGGTAGCGACTACCATTACTCAGCAGCTATGGTGTGAGAATAATGAGGGAGTCTGATTAAATCATTTTAGGACTGAGAACACCGTTCAGAACAGAAATGAGGGAGTATAGAAGACAAAGAGTGCTCGGATTGTGTCAGGGTGTACTGGCTCACTGAACTCCTGCTTCCCACACGTTTTCTGCAACTTTATGGCGACAGTGCTCATTTTGGACGAAACATTTAAAACATAGGATTCAGAGTAATTAAAGCCTACAAAGAGTGAAACTTTACAGCCCCGTGTAGGACGTCCTGTAAGCACAAATGCCAGAGTAGGTGGCCCAGACAGACAAATAATTATACTGTGGGATGGCTGGAGTTTAAACACATGTTGTCCACTGCTTTGCACCAAGAACACAAACTGAAGATGAAGGTGGCCATCAAGGAGAAACACCTCAACTGGGTGAGCAATCAGAAAATAAACAACCAACATAAACAATACATACAGAAAAGTCTGGACAAACCACAGTGATCACTACAGTGAAAACGTGCACACCTTGTTAAGGTAACGTTCATTCATGGCCTTTGCAATGTGACGGATCTCGCAGCGCTGGTCGGCTTCCCTCTTTCTTTCGTTGAGCTTCTCGGCCAACGTCTCCAGCTCAGTCAGGGCCATCTGCAGCGGCAGACGGTCTGCGTGACCCGCTGGGGTGTTTTTCAGCATGTCCTGATGAAAAAATGACAAGAAATTCAGCATTAAGAGTAAAGCAACAGCCGTTGTTCATCTCAAATCTCCTCAATCATTTCCAGCATCTCTTTTCTTCTTGTTCATGATAGAAGAGTATCTCCGCGTGACCTCAGCCGAAGTAAGGAGTACTTTCAGGAGGATTAATCTACACAAGGCAACCGGCCCAGACAACATCCCCGGAAAAGTGTTGAAAGAATGTGCCAATCAGCTCTGCGAGATGCTGGCAGACATCTTTAACACCTCACTTACTCTGGAGACAGTTCCCACCTGTCTGAAGACTGCCACCATCATCCCAGTTCCAAAAAACTCTAAAGTGACTGGTCTGAATGACTATCGGCCAGTGGCCCTCACCCCGATAGTCGCTAAATGCTTCAAAAAACTGGTCATGGCCCACATCAAAACAAACAACATCAACGAGGACCCTCATCAGTATGCATACCGTGAGAACCGATCAACAGAGGATGCCATCTCCTCTGTGGTCCACAGTGCGCTCAACCACCTGGAGCAGAAAACTCTTACGTCCGTATGCTCTTTGTGGACTTCACATCTGTCTTCAACACCATGATCCCCCAAACCCTGATGGACAAACTATTCACACTAGGACTAAGCTGCTCCATTTGCAACTGGGTACTAGACTTCTTAACAAACAGACTACAGTTAGTGAGGATCCACAACTTCTCCTCCTCCACCATAACCCCCAGCACTGGCTCTCCTCAGGGATGTGTGTTGAGCCCCCTCCTGTTTACTCTGCTCATGTATGATTGTGCAGCTACCCATCCAGGCTGTCACATTGTAAAGTTTGCAGATAATACAGCGGTGGGGGGATGCATCACAATCAATGATGAGTCCAGCTACAGGCAGGAGGTGGAACACCTGGAGAGCTGGTGCAAAGAGAATAACCTTCATATCCCTGGCTTTCTGCACTGTGTGATCTGTGCTGAGTCTGTGTGCATCACACTGTGTTAGTCATGTTGCGGTTGTTGTTGTTATCCATTATTGTTTTTGTTGGTTTCTACTTTTTGGTGTCCTGTTATGTAATCTGTTGCTATGTGCTTGTTCTATTTGTCCCTGTACAGCACTTTGGTGTGCTTTGTCACTGTTTAAAGTGCTTTATAAATAAATTGGTATGGTATGGTTATATCAATGTGAAAAAGACAAAGGAAATGATTGTGGACTTCAGAAGGAACAAACACACCTACACCCTCCTGAACATAAGAGGATCTGTGGTGGAAGTGGTCTCCAGCTACAAGTACTTGGGTGTGCACCTGAATGACGACCTCAGCTGGAGCAACAACACTACCAGCCTGATCAAGAAAGCTCAGAGACTCCATTTCCTCAGGCGGCTGAGACGAGATGGTCTGGGAAGCTCAGTCCTCACCTCCTTCTACAGGTGTGCAGTGGAGAGCATCAACGTGTGGCATAGAGGCTGCACAGCTGCAGAAATAAAAGCTTTGTAGATAGTGGTGAAGGCTGCACAGAAGTCTGTTGGAGTCAGGCTTCCCACCATAACAGACATCTACACCTCAGGAAGAGAGCCACCTGCATCATGAAGGACCCCACTCACTCAGCACACACTTTTTGCCCTGCTCCCCTCAGGAAGGAGGTTGAGGAGCATTAAGTGTAGAACCACTAGTCTGAGGAACAGCTTCTACCCTGAGGCTGTTAGACTCATGAATCTCTAACCAGGATAATCACTGTGAAAAAAATCACATGTCGCTGTTGATCCATTTCATGTTGCTGCTGATCTGTTTCAATGTTGGTGTTCATGCATGCTCATCTGCTTACACGGACTCGTGTTCAGGTTTGTGCTGATGTTTGACGCAATGTTTTTAATGCTATTAGTGCTTAGTGTACATTTAGTTGATGTTTTTCTTAGTTTATATATTGGATGTTATCATTGTTTTTCTTTTACATTTTATTGTTGGATGTAACTGGGACCCTGTGTACATAATTTCGCTCCACCACATGTACCACATGAGGTGCGAATGACAAAGAATCTCTGACTGACTCTCTGAAGATCGAGCTCTTTTGAATGTATTTGCAGTTATTTCTCTGTTACAATAGTGAGAGTTAAAACTGAAAGTCCCCCCCACAACTAGAGACAATAAAATCCTGGGTTAAAAAAAAGAAGCAGAGGTTAAACAAGAAAACATTTTACTTCAGAGATGTTTCCTTGACAATATTTTCAAACCAAGAAGCCTCATGTGTGAGTTTGAGGCTCCCTCTGCTGGTGAACTTAAATACAACAGTCGTGATAAAATACAACAGTTCATGCTCATAATCCAGGTACAAATCCAACAAAGCTCAGTCAGGCCATGTAAACGGTTTCTTTTTTGCCGAGAGGATTCCGCCATCATCCAAAGGACTTATTCTGTCCAAGGAGCCACAAAAAAAACTGGAGTCCCACAAATACCACACTTTCATAGTAGGAAAAATAAACAGTTTTCTGGTGATAAGATGGTTTCTGGGGCCTGCCCTCTCCCCCATCAACCCCTCTGAGGCAGCCGTGCCAAAATGAACCATCACTATAACCATATTACCACCAGCAAATTGTTTTTTCCCCTCACTATGGGAGTGTGGTATTTGTGGGACTCCAGTTCGTTTGGGGCTCCTCAGACTGAATAAGTCCTTTGGATGAAGGATAAAATGTCTCGGCAAAAAAAAAATAAATAAATAAAGGAAAAGAAAACGTCCAGATGATCTAACTGAACATCGTTTGTCATGATAAAATTTTTAGTGAAACTTTTCATACCTGAAGGAGCAAAATGAACTGGGGGAATCTCTGTATGGGTTTCATCATCAGACCATAAAGAGTCATCCTGTCACCACTGGTTTCTTGACGATTCTGCACATGAAGACAAATTATTATTAAATTGGGGCAGTGAGAATCATTGTAATAATTTAAAAAAAGTAGTTAAAACAAGTAGGTATAAAACTTTTCACAGAAATGTGCTTGAATATAATAAATAACCTATTTATAAAAGATAAGAAAGAAAAAGAAGAATACTATTTCTGCACTTTTGTTTCAGTGTTAGATTGATAGTTTTTCATTAGTGCAAGTCTTTCCAACCTTAAGGAACTCCAAGAAGCCAGGTTTGGAGGCGCACGTCTTTCTTACGACTGCCATAGCTGTGCTAAAGTTGTTCACATACTCGCTGTAGGCGTCCAGCACCATGGACTTGGAAAACTGTACAGCAAATAAAGATTGGCATGTTTTGAATAGAAACACAAGACACAAAGACCAATCCATGGAAAGAAAAACACTTAAAAAAAAAAATCAAAATTTTGTTTCCTCAGTGTGGAGAGGTCAAGTACTTTTTAATACATTATAAATTATAAAAAATAAAAAAAAAGTTATAATCAACTAAAACTAATGAGCATATTTTTATCTATTTTAATAAATCACATTGTTTAAATTTTCAAATTAAGAGTTGGAGCGTACCGATGCCACAAAGACATCCCCGATCATCTCCAGGTCGTCCCACTCAGTCACACGGCTCGCCAGTGCGATCTGAAACAGGAAGTGGCACTGCAGGATCTCACGCACACGATAGAAGACCATCTTCAGCTTCCTGTCGCTGAGCAGCCTGGGCTCGATCTGGGACAGGGGCTTCTCGTAATGCTGACGAAGCAGACAGTACGACTTGTAACAACCACCTCTGCAAGACTAATTTGACAATGTTTCAAGCCTTACTCACACACCTCTAATATCCTCTTGAGCGCATCAAGATAGTTCTTCTCACTTTCTAAAATAGAGCTCAATATACATCTTCTTACAAGCTGTGAATAAAAACAGGTAAGCGTTGGTGTTGTTATAGGTCCTCAGGGGTTGTCAGCTGTTTAAGCATTACAGGAAGTGTGAGAAATGTTAAAGGGCGTATTACTTGCTGCTGCATAAGACCTTCTGGTGTTGGACACAGCACAGGCTCCACATTGAAACAGTCCACCTCAATAAAAAGTTCAGACTCATCCTCAAAACAGGCCGACTTTCTCTCTAAAAATTTAAAACAGAAGACAACCATAACGTAAATTACTTTAAGGCAAACGGAAGAGGTCATTCTTGGACGGAACATCCAAAGGCTGATGGCCTTCTCTGAATGACACACCGTGACAGAACGACTTTGTTTTGATGAAGGAACGTCCCTTCTTCACCGCAGCTTTGGTTTTCTGAAGTCCATCTTTAGTCCCCTCCTTGGCTGCCTTCACCAGCTTTTGCATCTTGAAGTAAAAAAATAAAAATATCAATAATAGCTCAGACGTTTCAGTCCAGGTTGAAGTTTAGTCTACTTTTGGCTAAAAAGCAACGGAGCTACATGGGAGAGTGTTAGAGGAGAGATTAGGACTTACAGGACAACCAAGAACTGGGACATCAGCTGAAAGTTCATATTTGAGCCGAAGTCTCAGCAACATCTATGGAACAAGATTTCTGCTACTGGTTTCTCAGTTTACTGTGGACTGTATGTTAGAAAAGACTACATCCCGATCTTTACAACCTTGTGGGACTGAAGAGTATGTTAAACTTTGTGTTAACCCATCACCACCAGGACCACCACCATAAGTGATTTACATGAGAGCTGGACGAAGGTACTGAATCAGTGAGAAGATGCCAAGAGTGGAGTTAGCCAGGCGAGGAGGAAAAAGGTCGGGACTAATTTTTCTAGCACAAAACACATGAGGTGAGCCTCAGCTAATTTACCTTCAGCTCGTGTTTCTGTTTTAGCTGCTGCAGCTCTACAGTTCCCACTGTACTTGCCATTAGATCTTTCATCTTTTTCTCATAGTGTTCTTTCAAGCGTGTCAGATCTTGGGAGAGCTAAACGAAAGCAAAGCAAGCGTTACTGGTTACGGTTTCAGAATTACGTTTGACCTCTGGGTTTCAGGGAAGTTGTTTTTCTTAATTTTTGGAGTTAGAGCACTGACTATTTTTTTCATTGGTGTTATTTGTTTAAAAAAATGCAAACATATCAGAGTTGTAGGAAAAAAAGAAAAAAGGATTTTTTGTCCATGGGCACCTTTCTTCTTCTGGAAATGAAGCGTTTGATGAAAAATGGCAAAAACTACCGGTATATCCGTATTTAATGAAATATAACAAACTAGTTTCAGATATAAGCCAAAACACACTGTTGTTGTTGTTCTTCTTCTTCTTGTCTTGTTATTAGCTGGATCAACAGGTCTCATTTCAAAATTAAAAAAATTAAAAACTATTAAACTTAAAGCATTTAGATTATCCCACAATATGTTTACAAAATCTATATTACTAGTATAAAGCTTGGAACTTTTAGGGCGAATGAAGCGATTTTTGGTGACTCATTTCTGAGGCATCACTGATTTATCATCAAGTTAGAAGAAAAAAAAAAAAAAGAGACTTTTTATGTTTATTGTTGTCAATTTTCAGCACATAAATATCACAGTAGAACAGATTAAACAATGATTTTCCATAGTTTTGGTAGTATCTTATCAATGAGACACAAAGTAGAAGAAAAAAAATCCAAACATTGTTCAATATATTGACGCACAACTTGGTTACTGGCAGAAAGCCAGGCTGGGAGAGGGGAGGATATTAGTTATACTCACATGGATCTTCTTCTGTGGTGGTTTTCCTCTCATGAAGGCATGGGGCAAGCCGTTTTCAGCGTGACTCTCTCCGTCACTGGTCTCGTCGTAGCTTTCAAACTCACTCGAGCTCCAGCCGTTATCAAGGGAGCTGCTGCAGCCGCCCTCCTCTCCGAGCTCCACATCATCATAGATCATTTCATCAGGTTCTGCATTAATCGAGAGGACAAGCACTAAATAAATCAAGAAATAATGCAGCTTTGTAACAGCCTTAGGAAACATTTAGAATAAAAATCTTAAATTATTTTCATGGATGTTTGACTTCTTTACCAATAATAGAACATTCAAGCTAAAAGACAGAAAAAAAAAAATCATTGAAATATAACGTATTGAACTGCATATTGGAACACTGTAGGAATCTATAATGTACTATTTTGTATGTTTAAAAATACATATTTTAACAGTCTGAATGTGCATGTTTTTGGTCACAGTGATAATGTATCACAGAACGCAGACTCAAGAAAAGAAAACAAAATAAACGGTGCTCCTAAACTGCACATTAAAGACAGGAAACTGCTGAATAATAAAATGACAGCATGGACAAGAACAAGTACGAACCTGTGTTGGAGTCAGAGTTCTCTCTGGGCACGTCATCATAGATCACCTCATCTGGACCTGAAGATGAAAACCTCACAACCGTTAATCCATGGCCTCTCACAACACAAACCTGGGTTATTCACACAAAAACCAGAACATAAAGAAATAAAGAGCTAAAGGAACATCACACACACAAGGATCTGCTTCCTCAAAATAAAAACAGAAGGAAGTCTAAGAATACGGATGTGTCGAATAGAAAACGAAAAAACATTAAAGGCACTCCATGTTTTAACTAGACGTCACATCTCTTACTTTCCATCCAAGCAGTGTTGGCAGGATCTGAAGCCCATTTAGCCAAAGCATCTTCTTCTGTAATAGCTGGATATTCCTCAATGAAAACACTTGGAGAAAAACAACATTTATCAGTATTTATACAGACAATTCCCATTACTATACAGTGAGGAGGAGTACACCTTTCACATCTCTTAAAAAGACTTTACATATTAAAGAAATGTGATTGTGTTATGGGACTCACTTATCAGCAGAGGCGATGCTGGTCCCTACCACACTCACTAAATCAGAAAAGATAGAAATGTTACGTCAAGGAAACTTACACCACTATAAAATACATTAATCTGTCTGCAGCTCCTTTTAAAAAGGTCCCATAGTTTACTGTAAACCAAACCTTAGAGCAGTATTTAGATAATATTGTGCACAAAATATTACCTCACTCCTTTCTTTCTGGTCTCTGATCAATAATTTAAAAAAAAACCCACTTGTTCCAAAAGCTGTCCCCTAAAGCTGCAGGTTTTTAGCTGCTATTTAACACTGACGATTTACTAAAGTAACCAAGTCAAACGCACAACTTCTATAGTTAGAATGTTCTCATCTATTTTCAGAATGTTACACAAAAGTTACATTTTGTTTACAGTAAGACAATGTTATGTTGACGATGTACTGGCTTCACTTTGTTTATAATAAAAATCACAGTCATTACTTTTTCTGCAGTGACACTTCAGTTCCAACCACTCTCTCCACAGAGATTTAATCCAGAACTATTTTTCACTTTTCTCCACTCCATCTGCCACCAGGTGTCACTAATAGCACCCTAAATATACAATTGAATAAATATAATTATTGCAATTGTGCTCACAAGTTTCACTAAAACATGCGCTTACGTTAGGATTTCTGCTGTACAGTTGTTTCCTAAAGAAATATCACGACAAGGTGATAGTGCAGTTTTTATACCAGTAAATTAATCTCACTCATTAAAAATGCTAAACTGTTAATTCATTTTCATGATTACCAAATGTTACAAAGTAATTTACAAAAGTAAAACAGCATTTCACCATGCCTTGACCTTGGTAAGATAATAGTGCAGTAAGGCTGCCAGTCCAGCAGCACAAACTGCACGATTTCAGTGAAACGGGAAAATCTTCACAGCCAACAGAGATCTTTGGGGAGGTCTAAATTTAGTTCCCACTTCCTTGTGGCAAAGCTTTAGGAAAAACAAAAGAAAGGGAAGCAGCTGTGACAGCGGTTCGTGTTGAGGCCTCGATAGGCAACACACTCAGAACCGTATGTGATCCTGCTTCCTAAAAATGTATTATTATTTCATAAACTCTTGAGAGAAGTAGTTTCAAATGTTCCCTAGTCCTACTTTACCATCTTCATCCATGGAGAGATGTCGAATGAGGACAGGTGTGGTGTAGGCTGGTGTGATGAGCGGTACCCCAGAGGGGGTAGCGTAGCCACATGGCACAGGCACAGAGTATCCTGAGGTAACGCCTGGGGAGCTTGGGTGGATATCCTGGACCTCTCCCTCCCGGTCCTTTGGCTCCGTTGATGAGGAAGAGGAAGAGAAGGATCCATGCTGTTGTTCCAGCTGCTGCAGCTGCATAGGAGTGATGTCAATCACAGAGTAGGGGTTGACTTTACCTTGGGAGGAGGGCCTAAGGAACTCCTGGGGAGGGTCAGGGTCACCCGTGGATGCATTATGACCTTCACTGCCTAACGAGGGAGAACACAGTTAGTTTACAAAGTTATGCCGTCTACTTTGATTACCAATTTTCTAGAAAATAATGTAACGTTCAATAAATTTGGTATAAAATTAAAAAAAAAAAAAGTTTTGATTTTGAATCCGTGTTTTAAATTTTTAACTACCGTACTTGCCACCGTACACATCGCATCTATTATGTGTCACCACCGACTACCCAGAAACGTGGGCTGGTGTTGTGTCAAAAATTGATTGGCTGCCAAATGGCGGACGCGGGAGCGTGCACTGGAGGACTTTTACAAGAATTTAACAAGATTAACACTTAAAAACAATTAGTTGTTTGCTTGAAGTTATAGTAAAGGTGTGTCTCAGTCCATCTTCTTCTTCTTCTTCTTTTCCCTCTTCAGGGGTCGCCACAGCGAGTAATACTCCTCCACCTCACTCTGTCCTCTGCATCCTCTGTCCTCACTCCAACTACCTCCGTGTCCTCTCCAACTGCATCCATATATCTCCTCTTTGTTTTTTCCTGGCAGCTGCATTTCTAACATCCTTCTACCAGTATACCCACTGTCCCTCCTCTTGACATGTCCAAACCATCTCAGTCTGGCCTCCCTAACTTTATCTCCCAGTTGTTCAACCTGTGCTATACCTCTGATGATCTCATTCCTAATCTTATCCAGCCTAGTCACTCCTAGGGAGAACCTTAGCATCTTCATTTCTGCCACTTCCAGTTCCACTTCCAGTTCCTTCTCCTGTCTTTTTGTCAATGCCACTGTCTCAAGACCATACATCATAGCTGGTCTCACCACTGTCTTGTAAACTTTTCCTTTGACCTTTGCTGACACCTTTTTGTCACAAATCACTCCTGAAACTTTTCTCCATCCACTCCATCCTGCCTGGACTCTCTTTTTAAACTTCTTTACCACATTCCACAGTTTACTGGACAGTGGACCCCAAGTACTTGAAGTCCGGCACCTTTGTGACCTCTGATCCTTGTAGCCTCACTGTTCCACCAGCCTCCCTCTCATTCACACACATGTACTCTGTCTTTCTACGGCTGACTTTCATTCCTCTCCTTTCAAGTGCATACCTCCACCTCTCCAAGTTCTCTTCCACCTGTTCCCTGTTCTCACCACAGATCACAATGTCATCTGCAAACATCATCGTCCATGGGGATTCTTGCCTGACCTCATCTGTTAGGCGGTCCATCACCAGAGAGCACTTTAAAAATGTATTTCAAAAATCATTTCACAAATCGATTTGCGGGAGCGTGTAGATAGAGGACTCTTTATGCAAATTCTTCAAAATTTAACAAGTGTAACACCTAAAAATTATTATTCGTATTCTCAAAATTATAGTAAATGTTTGCTCCAGGAGTTTCGGAGCAAGACAAAAGTGGCTTCTATGACAAGCCAAGTGTCTCATTAATAGCCACTTTTACCCTATTAATGAGACACTTGGCTTGCCACATTAGTCAAGCGCCCTCTAGCAGCTGAAAATGGTAGTGTTCAATATTTTCCATGTCAGAATGAATGAAATGGTCAGATCTCAGCCAAAAATTGAGTTATAAATATGGGGAAAAAATGTAAATAAGTCGCTTCGTATAAGTCGCAGGGCATGCCGATTTATGCAAACAGGTGTGACTTATACAGCAAAAAGTACGGTAATCTCAATGATTGCGTTTCCACTTCATTTCAGGTTTAAAAGCTTCATTGTATGAACACAATAGGGCAAAGTAAGGCCATTCTGGATGGCATTTTTAGTGAGCAGGAGCATTTGAACTCACCAATGTATGATCTTATCAATGACAAAAATATTTTAACATGTTTAAATCACAAATTCCTTTTAAGAGAAAAAGCTGAAACATGGCAAAATGAGGATACTGCTCCACTACAGTACTACAGAATGAGCGCGTGGAAATAAAAGGCAGAGGCTAATCCTGCCTGCTGCTGCTGGCAGGACGTTCAGTGATAAAAAGCAGACCATGCCCAGAGACACGAGGTGTCAAAAGAAAGAGACGGCCCTTCTTTATGTCCTAACTTTAGCCTGAGCTGAAGAACTGAACGAGAGCCCGATACGGTAAACAGAGAATGCCAGGAGAATGTGAGGAATTTTAGGATCCTGCCAAAACAGAAAAGTGTACTGCATTTAAGGCACTATTTACAACCCACCATTTTCTAAGCACAGACTGAGTGTGGAGGACTCTCATTCCAAACAAAAGGCTGAACTGAGATTAAATACTCTCACTAAAGCCACAAGGAAAACGTCAACACTTGGGTTTACTAACCTGTACTTTTAGGATATGTCTGTATGTCATAGCCAAGAGGAGGTGGAGATGGTGGTAAATCTTTTTCCCTGTCATTAGTCCCCTCAGCAACAGATGTCCCTTCAGCTTCTGCGGAGCCATCTGCTGAGGAAGATTTGCTTGTGGCAGCTGGAGGGTCTGCTAATGAGGAGGCTGTGTTGGAGAAAGATGCTGGAGGCTCCAAGACACTGGGATACCCCTCCACAGAGTTGTGCTGGCTCTGATCCATGCCGTTATGGACTTCAGGAGCTGGAAGTGCCTCAGGGATGTCATCACCACTGTCAAAGTCAAAGGCTTCTCCCTCGTCTTCATCAAATGTGCTGTTGTCTGCCAATACTAGATATGGAAGAATTAGACATGGTAGTTAATGGATTATTCAATAATCAACATTTTATTTATTAAACTCAATAAAAAATATAATCTTGTACATTTTTTTAAAATCTGCATTTTCAGATGTTTTACCAAGTTGAGTGTGGCTGTTCAAGTGAATATTATAGACCTTTAATTAGGGTGGGGTGAATTTATTTGTTAGAAAGTCTTACTTCAAGAATTAACACCCAAACAGAACATCAGCTGCTTTCCTTTATAGCAAACACGGTTTAGTGTCAACATACAAGGTAACGTAGCCTTCTAAAGGCGTCACATCCACTTTAAAGCAATCACTTGGCAGCAGACAGGAAGGAAACAAGAATAATCTTTCCAGTTTCCACTCTGCAATTAGGCCAAAGGGAAAGAAAGTTGCTACTCCCTTCAGCGAGGTGTACAGCATGGGCTTACGTTTTGTCTGATCTAATGAAAGAAAAAAAAAAGTGTGGGACTGAATGAGCCAAGAAAATCAGAGTTGGTAAAAGGAGTTGGAACATACAAGCTCATCCGTCAAATCTGAGGGCTTCTTATTGTGGCTCCAGGAAGTCTAAAGACAAACTTGTGGGATTGATTTACGGGTACAGAAAAAGACAAAAGTCTTCATAAATCTACTTGAAATCCTTCTTGTAATACATCATTTTACAAAGCATGAACCAAAACACTATTTCACAATATTTAATACTTTATATCTTGTATAATATTGCGTTTATAAAAAAGACCATATTTGCTTTAGGGTCTTAAAATCTTCAGATAACTGGTGTTTGTCACAGCGCTGCTCACAGATACCAGGGATTCTTTTGGGGAGGGGAGCATTCACAGTCAAGAGCAACTTGACTGTGTTGACCTTCAGTTTAAAGTTTTATTTAAACTCTATCATTAATATCCTGACTATCTCCAAAGAAAACAGAAAATACCTGGTCAAATCAATTTCCTGTCCACCCTGAGAGAACGGGGTACTATGGTGACACATATGCTGAAATAGCTCAGTTGGGAGAGCATTAGACTGAAAAATGGTCCCTGGTTCAGTCCTGGGTTTTGGCATTTTAACCTGACACCGAGTGTGTTTTCACACCTGATACTCCGGTAGATCTGGTTTGATTGGGGACCAAATTCAGAACATTTGTTTACATTTCAGACAGTGATGTTTGCATTCACACTGCCCCGAGTCAGTCGAGCCAACCTGTTCCCCCCCCTCCACTCATGCTGAGTGCATTGTTGAAAAAAAATGACAAAATACAACTCCTAAAACCGTTAAAATTTGATGCCACTCCATTTTTGTTTTTATTTTCAGAAGAAGAAGAAGAAGAAGGCGTCTTCTTCAGAGGTTTTTGTGTCATTTCCTTCAGTAGTTCTTGGTGCAGCACCGCCACAGGCGAGCGGGGGAACAGGTTGGCTCGACTGACTCAATGCTGTGTGAACCGCACCAGCTGAAAATGTAAACCAATGTTATGAATTTTGATCCCCAATCTAACAGAGTCAGAGTCGGACTATCGGGTGTGAAAACACCCCGAGGGTGCTTCTGATGTCATAATGGTTGCCAATTTCTTATAATCTCAAAAACACCTGCTGTTATAATACAAAAGGGAACTGTTGGCTTAAGTTTAATAGAAAAGGTGTTTTAGCAGCTTTATTTTCATTTAATGGCTGTGTGTTGTGTTTTTTTGACCAGGTCAGTGTGGTGCACTAACAGTTATCAAGTAAATCTTAATTGAAAGAAACGACAGGCAACAAAACACGAAGACTTTGAAGCTGCCGATAGCGAAGAATACCGATCTAAATCACCAATAGGTCTCCCTCAGGGTCTGACAGGTAGCTGTTCCACCTCTCTGGTGTGTGAGAAAACAGTCTGTGACTAATGATCCAGGTCAGCATTGTGCTCCCACATCCATCTGCATCCATGAGTGACGGTGCGAGACAAGAGAGGGGCAAAGAGCAATGCTGGAAACTGAGATGTTATCGGTCGTTTTTCCATCTGTGCAACTGAGTGGAGCAAAGTAATAAAGCACAGTTTGTTACTAAAAAGTCTCCAAATGAGGAAGTGGAATTGAAATACAGAAGGAGCTATAATCATATTAAAAACTCCAGAAGATTGTCTCGAGTCAGTTAGATTTTGCTCGCCTGCAAGTCAAGGTTGACATTTAATAGAATCTAATCAATTGAAACCATTTCCAGATTATAAAGCTTTAAGCTGTTTCACATCCCTTTATGTTCAAAAGGCTAGAAAATATGTATAAAACTGAAAATATATCAGCTTTTAAGTTAACACGGGTAAAGATAATTTTCAAGATATTTGGCTTTTAAATCTGCCATTTTAAAACTATGGCATTGCAGAGTCATGGGGTGTCAACAAATATAATTTAAATGATCTCTTATGCACATTTTTAGAGCTCAAAGGCAGCACACTCACAGAATAAATGTTATTTTTGCTCCTTGAAAAATGCTCCAAGCTGTATGTACAAACCGGATTACAAAAAGTCGGGTCACTAAACAAATTGTGAATAAAAACTGAATGCAATGATGTGGAGGTGCCAACATCTAATATTTTATTCAGAATAGAACACAAATCACAGATCAAAAGTTTAAACTGAGAGAATGTATCATTTTAAGGGAAAAATATGTTGTTTCCAAATTTCATGGCGTCAATAAATCCCAAAAAAGTTGGGACAAGTCCATTTTTACCACTGTGTGGCATCCCCCCCTTCTTCTTACAACACTCAACAGACGTCTGGGGACAGAGGAGACCAGTTTCTCAAGTTTAGAAATAGGAATGCTCTCCCATTCATGTCTAATACAGGCCTCTAACTGTTCAATCGTCTTGGGCCTTCTTTGTCACACCTTCCTCTTTATGATGCGCCAAATGTTCTCTATAGGTGAAAGATCTGGACTGCAGGCTGGCCATTTCAGTACCCGGATCCTTCTACGTAGCCATGATGTTGTGATTGCTGCAGAATGTGGTCTGGCATTATCGTGTTGAAAAATGCAGGGTCTTCCCTGAAAGAGATGATGTCTACATGGGAGCATATGTTGTTCTAGAACCTGAACATAGTTCTCTGCATTAATGGTGCCTTTCCAGACATGCAAGCTGCCCATGCAACCCCATACCATCAGTGATGCAGGCTTCTGAACGGAGCGTTGATAACAACTTGGGCTATCCTTGTCCTCTCTGGTCCGGATGACATGGTGTCCCAGTGTTCCATAAAGAACTTCAAATTGTGACTCATCTGACCACAGAACAGTCTTCCATTTTGCCACACTCCATTTTAAATGACCCCTGGCCCAGTGCAAACGTCTGAGCTTGTGGAGCTTGCTTAGAAATGGCTTCCTCTTTGCACTGTAGAGTTTCAGCTGGCAACGGCGGATGGCACGGTGGATTGTGTTCACTGACAATGCTTTCTGGAAGTATTCCTGAGCTCATTCTATTATTTCCTTGACAGTGGCATTCCTGTTTGAGGTGCAGTGACGTTTAAAGGACCGGAGATCACGAGCATCCAGTAGAGTTTTACGGCCTTGACCCTTACTCACAGCGATTGTTCCAGATTCTCTGAATCTTTTGATGATGTTATGCACGGTTGATGATGATAACTTAAAAGTCTTTGCTATTTTACGCTGGGTAACACCATTCTGGTATTGCTGCACTATCTTTCTGCGCAACAATGGTGGAATTGGTGATCCTCTTACCATCTTGGCTTCTGAGAGACACTGACACTCTGAGAAGCTCTTTTTATACCCAATCATGTTGTCAATTGACCCAATTAGTGTTAATTGGTCTTCCAGCTGTTCGTTATATGCCCAATTTCCTTTTTCCAGCCACTTATTGCTACTTGTCCCAACTTTTTTGGGATTTGTTGACACTGTGAAATTTTGAAGCAACATATTTTTTCTTTAAAATGTTACATTTACTCAGATTAAACTTTTGATCATTCAACTATGTATTATTACGAATAAAATATTGATATTTTCCATCTCCACATCATTGCATTCAGTTTTTATTCACAATTTGTTTAGTGTCCCAACTATTTTGGAATCCGGTTTGTACATGTTCTGGGCACTGTAGGGTAAAAAAAAAAAAAAGTACCTTATGTGTTGAAAAAAAAATGACAGAGCTGGCTGTATAGGTGTACAGTATGTGCATCCAGCTTAATAACAGATCATGCTGGAGACTGATCTTTCAGTACAAGTACATACACGACCAGAACAATAAAAAACACTAATAACTTGTAAGGAGCTTCCAGGCTGTCTAATCATTTTTCTCCAGAGCTAAACTGAAAAAAAAAAAAAAAAGCATCTTCACTTTTAAAGATTGTCTGTATTAATTCTGGTGGGAATGTGATGCACAAGATCAGACAGGGGTACGCAAAAGTGACCCAGAGACTTGAAGAGGCACCCATTGTCAATTCATATTAACAGTGAGAATTCTGTTCTAAAGACTTATCTTCTGTGCTATATAATGATCTGCTGAAATGAGTCACAGGGTTACAATCTGCTCCCGCAACCCCCCCCAGGCAACAAAGCAAGCGACCAACCAGCTGGAGTCGAAGCATTTTTCTGGTTGTCTTTGTCCGTTGAAGCCCTGTGCATGTACAATATGTGTATGTGTGTGTGTAGTTCTGCAGCAGTACACAGCCTGGTATTGAGGCACACTGTCTGGTATTCACAGAAACGGCACATTTTAGTCTTCTTATTCTTCTCGTTCATCTGCCCACACACTTCACAGTAGCAGAGAGGAATTTGTTGTTTACTCAAACTGTCCAGCCTCGATGGCCCTCCTGGAAATGGTCGGCCACGCAACAATCCACAGCAGCCACTACGTAAATCTTACGGATGCATTTTAAATGAAAATACAACAACGGTGTCAAGATTTAAAGGAGCATTCTCTAATTTTTGTAGTGGCTAATGACACATTCTCCTGTGAACCGGCTTCTTTTCGATACTGAACACGTTGCTGTGATTAACCAAGCGACTTCTATTCATTTCTTATTTAAATTTTTTTTTAAAAGTATAAAAACACAGATCATCAAAAAAAAAAAATAAAAATAATTGAGTAAAATCGTAATTTAAAATCTCTCAATATTACTTTCACATTAGGGATACACGATATTATTGGCATGGTATCGGCCGATTTTAGCGATAAATTTAAATATCGGACATCGGCAATTCCATCAAAATAACTCATCGATATAAAAGACGCTGTTTATATATATAAATAAATGAATAAATAAAAAAGGCATAAAATTTACATTTAAATTTGACTTAACATAAGCCAAGTTGAAGTGTTAAATCATTTTCATCCCCCTTTTTGGAATCTGCATTGGTAGCAGGCCAAATTGACAAAGACCATGCAGAATAATTTAGTAGTTTAATTCCACAGCAGAGAAAGCTCTGTAGTTTCTGTAAGTAGGTCTAAGGAAAAAAAATCAAATAAAAATAATCAGTATTGGTATCGGTTATCGTCAAATAAGTTTTAACATATTGGATATCGGCCAAAAATCCAATATTGTGCATCTGTATTAAAATTTTAACAATTAACTAGAATCAACAAGTTTATTTATTCACGTTGAACGGCATTAAGGTCGAGCGTTTTTAGGTTTTCAGTATAGGGTGGGCTCACCGCTGGTCAAGACTCAAATGGAGTCATAATGGGGAATAAATTGTTTTTATTCTGCTAGTGAAGACGACTATGCTTCTGTTCATCAAAGCGCTATTGAAAACTTTAGCATGCACAGGAATCAAACCCCTGACCTTGGCATTATTAGCACCAACTGAGCTAACCGGCCTCTGCCACTGCTCCGTCCCACCATGTTCCACAACATGTCTGCTTGGTGTAAAAGGACATGTGTATGTTACACGTTTTGTTGACTTTACTTTCAGGAGGCGGGGGAGGAAAGTCTTCCATGTCCATGTTTGCTTCTCTTCTCCTGAACAAGCTGTCGTGGGATCGACTACGGCAGCACACATTCCTAAAGGAGAAAACGAAAAAAAAAGACAAAATGTCAGTAAAAGCAAAAACAGACATGTTGCTACACACAATATTTCCAAACCAGTTGGGAAAAGAGCAAGCAAGTTAGGCATTTCTGGCTCAGCATTTGCAAGCAGCAAGTCGACAAAGCCCGAGCACACTTCAATTGTTAATTTATGACGGTAACAAATAACACTGGAGCATTTGTGTTTGGTCACAGCCTGTCAAAATCATAATCTGAACCAGGGTGAAATCAAACAAATCAAGTGGATCGAAACAAAAGAAGCTCTTATCTTGTTCCTGGAGACTATAGCGTGCGTTTAATCATACAGAACACTTTCATGAGATAATTGCAGGGATTTTATTCTCATGAGTATAAACAAGCTTGGCCATCATTTTAATGAACGCCTGTGGAGTGGCCATTAAGTAAACTACTTGTGAGGATTATATAGCTAAATCAAATTGTATTCAAAGCAAGTTCACATTTAAATATATATTAAAACTTGTTTATTGTTCCCACTCAAAGCAAGCCAATAATAACCATGCATTCCTCTTATGTTGTTCAAATTTACCCTAAGCAGCTAATTTACTGCAGGCCTGGAATCAGTTAATCTTGTGCAAAGTGAATCCACTGATGTGGATTGGTTAATTAAACATAGTTAAAAAGGCAACAATTATTTGTTTAAGACCAGTAAAAGTCCATTATCACGCTTGAGTAACAAAAGGCTACTTTATGCCTCAAGATGCAAAAAACACATGACCCAAAACTGTTGCTTTTTAATTCTGTGGTAATCCCCAAAGAACAATAATCTAATATTGTTGATTTATGGCTTGTTGAATAAGGTCCATGTCATATGTTGACTTCAACCCTTTTTTTAGGCCATAAGAAATACCATCAGCATGCTGAGGCAGGACAGACCTTTGGTCCTGCATGGGCATGAGTTAAATCACATTCCTCAGAAACACTGACTTTGTTTCCTGATGCACAACTCATATCAACAGGTGACAGTTTCTGTCAAATGTCCTCCTTAAAAAAAAAAAAAAAAAAAAAAAAAAAAAAAAAAGTTCTAATTCCAGACTACTTCATCTTGTTAATGATAAAGTCATGACATCATGCTGTAGCATAAAGCAGCCATTGTTATAGCGTGTAGGACCAGTGCTCTGTGCATACAATCTCCTTAATGCATAAAACAACAAGGATTCAGTCAGTCTGTCTAGATCTGACCAAGACAGATTTAACAGAAGTGCAGTGAACAAGAACGACAACTCATTCTGAGACTCAAAGATTGTTTTGTCTAGGAATAATGTGAAATCCTCTGCCTCGTAGTCTCTCCTACTGATGTGGCACAATGCCAGAACGGAGGGCACGGACATACGGGGCCAGTGTCTGGTGAGCACAGTGCAGCTAACAGATAATGCTAACAAAAACAGGCTGAGCATACATTGCCCGAGGATACATTTCCCTGCAAAATAATAGAGGTGCTTCCCCAGAGACAGACAGGAGCTGCTACCTTTCACCGACAACGACTCCATCTTTACATTATACACTTTATAAACATGATGTGTATGAAACAGGTAGCAACACGACACAGAAGTGACAGGATTTTCAAAAGGTGACTTCTATTTACCTTCTGAACCACTGAGATTTAAGACCCTAGGTAAAAAGGAGGAAAGTAGAACGGAAGACAAAAAGCAGACCTTTAATCCTCCTTACAAAATTACTTCTTACTTTACTTATTGAGAATAAAAACAGAATGCGCCATTCTAAATCGTGCAAGCTTATGTTATGCTAACCATCACCTGTCTCGTTCCAACACAACTCAACAAAAGCATTCCTTTAAACGTGTGGCCTGTCACCAGCCCGTCAACACAGGGTTGTAAACAGTAACACGTGTAAACATCGTAACAGCTGAGTAAATGACAAACTCTTACCAACAGGGCTAGAATAGTCACCATAACTCGCTTGTAATCCTCTGCTTTTTTCCCCCAAGTGTTTAAATATAAAATATAGCATATTACATTCTAGTCTGAGAGCAACGTTTGGGGACAACAAAAAGAGGAGATCAGAAGGGTAAAGTCATCCTCACAGTTGATGACAGGCTCAGCTGAGCATGTCATTACATGCTCTGAAGTCTGAGCTGTGTGATGCAGACAGGAAAACAGTCATCTGGCTCGCTGTTGTGATGCATTTAAATACAGACAGGTACAGGTCCTTGTCAAAAAATTAGCATATTGTGATAAAGGTCATTATTTTCCATAATGTAAAGATAAAAATGAAACTTTCATATATTTTAGATTCATTGCACACCAACTGAAATATTTCAGGTCTTTAATTGTTTTAATACTGATGATTATGGCATACAGCTCATGAAAACCCAAAATGCCTGTCCCAAAAAATTAGCATATTTCATCCCACCAATGAAAGACAAGTGTTTTTAACACAAAAAACCGCCAACCTTCAAATAATCATGTTCAGTTATGCACTCAATACTTGGTTGGGAATCCTTTTGCATGAATGACTGCTTCAATGCTGCGTGGCATGGAGGCAATCAGCCTGTGGCACTGCTGAGGTGTTATGGAGGCCCAGGATGCTTCGATAGCGGCCTTAAGCTCATCCAGAGTGTTGGGTCTTGCGTCTCTCAACTTTCTCTTCACAATATCCCACAGGTTCTCTATGGGGTTCAGGTCAGGAGAGTTGGCAGGCCAATTGAGCACAGTAACACCATGGTCAGTAAACCATTTACCAGTGGTTTTGGCACTGTGAGCAGGTGCCAGGTCGTGCTGAAAAATGAAATCTTCATCTCCATAAAGCTTTTCAGCAGATGGAAGCATGAAGTGCTCCAAAATCTCCTGATAGCTAGCTGCATTGACCCTGCGCTTGATAAAACACAGTGGACCAACACCAGCAGCTGACATGGCACCCCAGACCATCACTGACTGTGGGTGCTTCACACTGGACTTCTGGCATTTTGGCATTTCCTTCTCCCCAGTCTTCCTCCAGACTCTGGCACCTTGATTTCCGAATGACATGCAAAATTTGCTTTCATCCGAAAAAAGTACTTTGGACCACTGAGCATCAGTCCAGTGCTGCTTCTCTGTAGCCCAGGTCAGGCACTTCTGCCGCTGTTTCTGGTTCAAAAGTGGCTTGACCTGGGGAATGCGGCACCTGTAGCCCATTTCCTGCACACACCTGTGCACGGTGGCTCTGGACGTTTCTACTCCAGACTCAGTCCACTGCTTCCGCAGGTCCCCCAAGGTCTGGCCCTTCTCCACAATCCTCCTCAGGGTCTGGTCACCTCTTCTCGTTGTGCAGCGTTTTCTGCCACACTTTTCCCTTCCCACAGACTTCCCACTGAGGTGCCTTGATACAGCACTCTGGGAACAGCCTATTCATTCAGCAATTTCTTTCTGTGTCTTACCCTCTTGCTTGAGGGTGTCAATGATGGCCTTCTGGACAGCAGTCAGGTCGGCAGTCTTACCCATGATTGCGGTTTTGCATAATGAACAAGGCTGGGAGTTTTTAAAAGCCTTAGGAATCTTTTGCAGGTATTTAGAGTTACGTCGTTGATTCAGATGGTTAGGTTAAGAGCTTGTTTAGAGAACCTTTTCATGATATGCTAATTTTTTGGGACATGCATTTTGGGTTTTCATGAGCTGTATGCCATAATCATCAGTATTAAAACAATTAAAGACCTGAAATATTTCAGTTGGAGTGCAATGAATCTGTAATATATGAAAGTTTCATTTTTATCATTACATTATGGAAAATAATGACCTTTATCACAATATGCTAATTTTTTGAGAAGGACCTGTACGGCATGTCTCAAACTCAAGGCCCGCGTGCCACATCTGGCCCCTGTGATGATATGAAATGTAAAATATTTTTATTTTTTCATATTTTGCTTTAAAAAAAAAACTGTGGGAATGTTATTTATTAAGTGTAGACTTCTCATGACAAGTGGCTAACTTTGAAGTAAAATAAATACATAAAAGAGATTTTCAGTAATCTTAATGAGACGGATCAAACACTTGGTGATGAATCTACAAAAAGAAAAGTTGTTGGGTGTTGAGCTAATGCATTGACTAAAACTGGCCTTTGGCTTGGAACAAATATTTTATTCCAGCCGCCTTTTTGTAAAGGAGTTTCAGAGGTCTGACTTCAGGGAAGAATAACAGAAAATTGGTCAAATGCTAAAGTTTGTCTAGCAGAAGTTTTAAAAGAACTGTGTGTGTTTGAATGCTGACCTCTGCGGTACTCCGCCACCCTTCTTGATCCCCAATGTTTATTATGGCCAGTCATGTTTCTTGTTGTCTTTTTGTGTTTAGCAGCAGATTTGCTTTGTAAATTTTCACCTGAACACATTTTCGAGATCGATGCATGTATGATTCCACTATACTTGTTTACTTACAGCGACTATTAGCGTGCACCTAAAGTAGAACCATCACGTAACTCAAGCTTACATATGGTTCTTAGTAACTTCAGCGGAGAGTTGTTTACAGTGAATGCGTACCTGCATTTCAGAGCTGCCCATTGATATGGAAAACAACTGCACCAGTTGATTTGTCTCTGGATAATCTTTTGAGATTTGATTTTATACGTTGCATTGAGTACCTTTAACACTTTCTTTAGGCTTTTACTTACTAATAATGTGATTTTTTGTTTGTTTTAAAACTGTGTTTTAGAAGCCAGCAACAAGAGTTCTGTCAAATCATGCAGACGTATAAATCAGAATTATGCAACATCAGGCACTGTAAGGCAAAGTTTTGATTTTTTTGTTAGGTTTTCTAAAAAACATTTACAGAAAAGTGGAATTCTGCTCACAATCTAAAAGTCGTAAGCAAAATCCTTTAGGAGAGGCGGAGTACAGGGCGACTTGTCGGTTTTTGGCTTTGCAAATCGTTCTGCTGCGTTTCTGCCAGGATTCCACTCATCAGGTCTCCACCAGTAGCAGAAGATCCCAGTGCAACAAAATGGAAGAACAGGCTTAAAGTGCTGTAATATATTGATGGAGAAGATGGACGGGGCCTACAGAACACTGAACAGAAGAGGAGGCACCTCTTTCTAGCTTCTTTAAGATTAAAGTTCAAGAGATAGTTTTTACTGGGGGCTTGCACTTTTATTTCAAATAAAGTCTGTTTTACTGGAACTAAATCTTTGCTACAGTTTAGAAGTGGAAAAAAAAAAAAATCTGTAACCAGAAAACGAGTAAAAATGACATATTTGGCATTAACAAAAATACAAACTCATCATAAGAAAGTAAATGAAGAACTTTAACACCCGAAGAGATTTTAAAAGCATCATGGAAAATAAATTTATTTCAAATCATTTCCCAAATCTGTTGAAAAAGTTCTGGAGTTTGCTCACACTCAAACAAAAAAAAAAAAAAAGAAGCTAGTACCCTGAATGTGAGCCAACACAGCACACTGCACCACCTACTCTGACCTCAAACTGGGTGGAGGAAGCTTACAGGCAGGCCAAAGATTGCTGGCATTTTAAAGAACTTTGACTCATGGGAAGTAGGAAGACGATAAGATGAGCTCCCAGTTTTAATAGGATACGTAATAAGGAGATTACTGAAAATGTAATTCAATCAATGATAAGACCCAGAGGGCTGGAACTGGATTTCAGATGCGTGAGCGACTGATGCGAGAGGATTTCTAGAGTCGGCAACTTAACACGCACAAAAGGTTTGTTTCTTAACTGAATGTGACTCATACGAAGCACACCGATCCAGAATTTCACAGCATTCTATCATTACAGAACGCATTTTTATGGACTTTTTTCTGAATAAAACAAGTGGTTTTGTCAACAACTTTTTTTAAAGAGGCAAAAATACAGTCAGAAAAAAAAAAAAAAAACTATGCCTGCAGAATAAATCCAGTGTTTATTTGAATGCTTACACTGCACCGCCTTGACTGTCACTCCTAACTGGTCTCCACCCTCCCAGTAAGCCACACAAAAAGGTTTTTAGAGCCCAACATGTCACCAGAAGAACACTACCGAGAGTGTGGAGAGGCCGCTCGAAAAAGCTTTTTTGTGAACCGGCTGGATCTGAAGGAATTTTAATAAGAATGGAGCTACTCTGTTGAATTGTGATAAACGGGTCCAGGAAAGTGAACTAACGCTTGGTCAGCAGTGGATCTGTTTTTGAACTAGGTTTACTCCTTGTCTTTTTAGGAATGTGGTTTATAGTCCTCATCTATAGCTCAGATTAGAAAGACCTGTTCTAATAAAAGCATCTAAATAATAGGATGGAGGAAACTGTGGCTACAATACGTACCATTTAGAGTTTAACTGTCATGTTGAGTTAGACCTACGTCTAAATATAAACCATTTTCCCAGCTGCTGAACACATGCCGTACGCGATTTCTCACATCCACCTGCAGAAGACCAGTGACTTTTCCTTTTCCTGCTGTATATTTGGCTGATCTGCAGTGGATTATTGGCTGGATGGTGGTTCCATATCGGACTTTCTAAAAACGAACGGCATGCCCCCGTACCGTATCGCAGAGTACTCTGGCATCCCAAGTCTAGTCAAGATAAATAAACAGCAATTTCACGAATCATTACTGCAACGTTCAGTTTTGGGCCGAATCACACTGTTGAATTTAGCAACAACTGGTAGTTCTCTAAGGAAATACAGGCTAACATAACACCAGCAGAGAATACTGAGGTTTGAGCTTATGATTGGCAAAAGACTGGTAAAGATGACATATCTACAAATAAACCATAAAAATTATGCCATTTGACTTGCATTTAGCAGCTGAAGTAAATGTGAGCATTTTAAAGAAAGCACCAGTATTTGCAGGACAGGCCACCCTGGTTATTTGCCAAACAAATTACCCACACAGACTTTTGTGTACTTGCATGGGTGCATGTGACCTCTCAAGTGCACCAAGTCACCAGCATTGTGCAGGCAGAAAGAGCTGACACCAGACAATACAGATGGACATCAAAGAACTCTTTGTGTTTAAAACCATTTTCTGGTGGCTCAAGCTAGAAAAGCTGAAAAAGGTTTCCTGCAGACACATTTTGCTGCACAGAGAGAGACCACCTTTCAGAGAAACAGATGAGTCAAATGAAGTTTTATGACCCGTTTAGACTTCTTGTTAACTAAAAGCTGCAGGACCCTCCCTGAGGAATGCCATGCATGACTACTTGTAAGCTTCACTTCAGGAACTGCTTTTTTTTGTTTTTTTTTTTTGCTTAAAACCTAAAGGGATTGTCATATTTTCCATATATTTAATTGGCTGCAATTACAGTTGCTGAGAGATTTTATTTCTCAACTCTTAAAGAGAGTGTTAAACTGAATAAAGAGCCTGCTCGTTATTATTATTATTATTATCAACACAGTGAAACATCAGTGATTTATGACAAGTCAAAGCCTGAAATGTGTCGGTGGCATCAATGCAATAGCACAGGCGCCACGTTACAAACATCTCTCAAATACTCCACCCAAGGAACCATTTCACACGAAATAAGCTGCTTGTGTTTTCTATATTGTATTGAACACAATGTTACGGGTGATTTTTGAAGAGTTAGCTACTTAAAACTTTGCCAAAGTTAGAAAATTGCCTCCAACTCACCATTTTATGGAATTCCCATGGTTGAATTGCCTTATCCCGTCACGGCAATACGTGAATGTTTCAAATGTAATACATTTATGAGCTCGACACGACTCTAAATAAATCAAAACATCCACTTTCGCCCTTCTTTTAACTTGTCTCTCCGGTGTAAGCAGAATCCATCCACGACAAACGCTTTACCGCCTTTCACAATCTGATTGGCTTACGGGTGGTAGCAGGCGAGCTGCGATTGGCTGAGGGGGATGTCAATCAACATTCCAACGCCTTCTCCGGTAGCTAAGCTGCCCTCTCTGTTCACCCAGCTGTGTCTCAACCTAATGACAATTTAAACACAAAACTTGAAACTTTACATTTATAAATACTTTCTTTACCCGTTTTATTCTAAATGTGTAATATTGAGATATTTATTCATTTTTACATGAGTTTTTAATAGATAAATTATCTCTCGATATGCCAAATAAATTAATTGGTGTAATTAAACAGCCTATAATTTAAAAATATTTGTTTCAGTAAGCATTAAAAGGTGTTCATTAAAACAAAAAAGGGCTATAGTGCCACCTAGAGGAAAATGTTCAGAGTTACAGCCTTAATTAGTAAAAACTGCATACAAAGTGTAAAAAACATTTATTTTATACTTCATGTATTTCTCAAATCATACATTATTGGATCTTTGGAAACACCAGTAAAACTGCAAATACCTTTATTTAACCCACAACTGTTTCAAACATCTATTAAAGTAAGTGCAAACTCCAGCGTTACCAGATACTTTAGTCTTTACAATAAAAGCCGAAGTCAGATAAAATGCACAATTTGAATTATAATACTTTTCCCTTCAAGTTTAACATTATTCTAAAACATTTATATTCAGGTTATATTTAAAACTTTATGCAAGTTTAAAACTATCATATGATTCAACCCAAGTCATTCCACTCTTATTAATGATGTAGGTCAAAAAATATATATAAGCTGAATTATTTTTACATTACCAACTTGTATATCAACTATTAGAGAGCACACTAATGTAATGTAAGCAATGCCAAAAGCAAAGAATCTTCTGACATACTGGAATATTAAATAGTACCACAAAACCTTCAAATGTATGCAAACAATTGATTTTTTTTGTTTACTTTTCTAAAAATCTTGAAAAGTACTAGCTAGTTTTAGTTTTTAGCCAAACTCGAGATGTTAATTTGGTTCTTCAAGATACTCAACTATGTATATGAACCAATACTTGAATAAATACATTTGATACTTAAAAGATCAAATAAATTATATGGAAATATATTTCTGTATGTACATTACAATCCCTGATCACAAATGAGCAGATTCCAGCGTCACACACCGGACATATAAAATGCATTTTAAGGGAAGTATGAATTTATTATAAACTCTTTTCTATATTTTGAGCAACTTTCATGACAATCTGATGACCTGAAAATAAGTTTTGAAGCCCTGGAATCAGGATGATCTGATTGGGTTATTAAGAGAAATTTGTATAATTGTATTCTACTAAATTTGTCATAACTTCCTATTTTATAAGGGTTACTATTATTGTCTTAGTCTTTTTTAGCTGCAACCAATAAAATGAGTTTTTTTCTTTTACAAATTGGGAACTCAGATTCTTCTTTGTAACATACCAACTTTTTGTGAGATGACACACAAATATACCCACAATACAAGACTAAGAAGCAACTGCAAGCCTAACACTGCACGAGCACCTTCAGAATTTTTGTATTTGGCACTTGGAACAATTTTAAACACACTTTTACCACTTTGCTTACAATATAAAAATACACCCTGGTAAAAATAAACTTAACGTTGCTGCTCTATGTCAGTTTTAGTTTAGTCTAACTGCATCCCCATTTTGCAGAATTTGTAAAGAGAACAATTTCTTGCAACAAAAAGCGATTCTGAAAAGCTTTTTCTTTAGTCCTGACAATAAAAAAATATTTCCCACTTTACTGTGGGAGGATTCTGAGTCCTACTGACTTGTCTCGAAACAAATCTAATGATTTATGATATAGAAGTTTGTTTTCCAAACTTGGTCCAATTTAACACCCATCTCTGTCCTGCATGTGATAAAATGAGTATTTATGGGATTACTTCACCAGCTAGAAAGAAACCATGTTTAGTTGGAATTAAGTGCAAAAAATGTTAAATTGCTTAAACTAAACTGCTCACTCCTAAACTTCAAAAGTAACAGGCAATAAGTAAACATGAAGACTAATAAATTATTATTTAAGTGCTTAATTACTGTTTATAGACAGTAAGAAGATTCCCACGTTCGTCTTCGCTTATATTCCAATATGTTCAGCCAAATGTTTTATCCAACTAAATTTTGATTTGTATGTGAAATGAAGGACTTTGCCAAAACTTTTCTCGCACACATTTCCCATTGTGACTAACGCACAATAAAAAGACCTTTTGATGCTCCTCAGCTGACGTGGGGTTTCACAGAACCCTCAGCCTGATCCCTCGTGGCGCCGCTGTTTGGCGTCGGCTTGTTGCCGAAGTTCCAGTCCACAGGATTTAGAAGCTGCATGGTCTTCTTGTGCGTCCAGATGGGGTTGATGATGAGTGTGAGCAGAGCGAGTCCAGAGAAGAAAATTAGGCGTACGGGCAGGGCTACGTAGGTGTTGACCTCTTCCCAGTGGGTCAGCGTTACCCACCACATGTAATAGGTGAGCACCATTCGACAGTGGAACATGTGGATCATCACCCACTGGTTGGCCCTCCAGAACAGAGTGTGAGCCCAGCCAGCCTTGAATGGAAGAAAGGAAACCATTATAGAGATGTGACTAACAATCACATGCTTGTTAATTACCGACAAGTTAAGGTTGTAATTAAGAGGAACAGAGAATGTTTAGAAAACGCTGCCATTTTTTATTTTACTTCCTTTTTCTAAGAGCACTACTGGTAAATTGAATCTTGAAGCAATTATAAGAGTAACATAAGCAAAACCACAATGTGCTGTTTTTAGTTCAATTTAGTTTAGTTTATAAACTAAAACTTGTCAAATTGTGTTGGGAGTTTGCCATTTTCACTTGGCAAGAGATACCATGATGCCCCTACCTTTAGCAGCATCCAGGATATACAGGTGAAAGGTGTACTCATCTCCAGAAGGAGTGTAACCATGGGCAGGTAGTGGCCCTGGGAATCCCACACCACAGCTCCTGCAAACCCTGACAGGGCGAAGAAATGGTGCGTGGCCAACGGGAGGTCGAATGAACGAAACACCACACTGGATACGTGAAGTGCTACATTCTCAAAGACAAAAAAGCCTGTGGCCGTGAGGATGTGAAACCACGACCAGTCTTCTTGGCCCCTGATTCGGTCTTTGAACAGTGCAGAGTCCTCTGTCAAAGCTCGAAGTCCTGCTACGATACTCTGGATGCCAAACGCTGCCCGAGTAGCTGCCAAGTTCCAGAAAACCTTCTCCTTGGCTAGCAGGGAGTTGTAGGTGCAGGACAGAGCCACAGACAGGAGGTGGGAGAGGAGGAATATTGCTGCATAGAAGCCAAACCCTATACAGATAAGCTGGAGGCGATAATCCCACGAAAAGTATTCTGCACTGAGCTGAGGTGGAGGAGTCTGCTGCTCAGGATCCATCATGTTGTTAATGCAAGGAAACTGAATCTTAGCTGGGGAGTTTCACCTGAAGGTGGAAGATTCATGGTACAAGCATGGCGTGTGGCTCACCTGGAAAACAAAATGAAAGCTAATAAACAAAGTACAACTAGATACATTTGATTTATATAACATATTCACTGTAATCTAATCTTAGACAACTTAAATAAGCAGCATCCTAACAGTTAATGTGTTGATGATTAGTTAATGATTTTTTTTCTGCTAGTAAAATCTGGCAGATAAGACGTTACAACTTGTGTAGCTTTGATAATCCCAAACGATTTTCTGTACTTAAATAGAAGCAGTTTCAAAACAACTTGCTAACTTTTCACCGTATCAGCACAAACAAAACAAAAAACCCTCTGCGACCGAGATAAGCTAGCACATAAATAGTGTATTAATTTAAAATTATTATAATATAATAATAATAATTAACAGAAACTTACGATTTAAACATCTTCGAAACAAAACCAGAACTGAATGAACTTGAATCAAGCTAGAACAGGAAATCTCACGTCATGCGACTCTAATTTGGTCACGTGACACGAAAACAGGAAGTCACGCCTCCACATGTTTTAATGGAATTCCATTGGTCAGTGTAGCTCAGAGGCAGAATCCTATTGGTTCATATCAAGGCTCATGCTTAAGTTTGTCTCTAGCACTTAGTAATGCATAGACATTGTTTATATAATGTCTGTGTATGTAATGTATAAAACGAATCCTTGACCCACAAACTGGATTCAGGTAAATTAAAAATAGCAACAAAATTACATTTTAATAATTTAGAAGTATTGCTTAACAGCTGGTAGGTATATTGACCCTGTTTTGCGGTGCTATTTTTGTCCAACTGAGGGCAGTGTTGCTCTACTACATTTGTGCTTCTGCCTAATAAAAGTAACTAAATTTAAGTTTTTCCAAAACTTAATTTCCCGTTAGTCCTGACTTTACGAAAATAAATTAAGATTGAGCATATTTTTATTTATTTGATTGCATTCATTAAAATAAGCACGAACTACATGGTCTTGTGTGTGCAAACTATTCTGGTTAAATTAAAGAAAAACCGATCAATAGAAAGAATCAAATATTTCTTCAAGGTGTGTACATAAGTGGAAATGACCCACGTGGTTTTTTTTTTTTTTAATATGTTGCAAACCTTTTTTTAAATGTCAAACATATGACAATTTATTCATTTTATTCCCAGCATGTTTTAGTCTAAACTATGACTTGTATAATTCTGCACATCTTGAATTGGGATCTGAGTCTTGATATTTTTGAATGAAGTTGCAGCCTTTATTTAGTGCTTATTTCTTACATATCAAATAAAGTACCCACAGCAAAATAAAATAATTTGGTCTATGACATGCAAAGTTAGGAAGCTAGTATATGAACGTCAAGAAAACCTAACCCATTGATCCTCCCTCTTATAGTCAAATACCATTTCATAGCATTTCATTTTTCTATAAGTACTAAAGAACAACAGCAAAGTGCAAAAACTGACTTTACCCGTTGACCTTTGGGAACAAATACACACGCAGCCAAAAATTGTCCAAACTTTTTCTCCAAAAATTTAATTGCAGAATTATTTACAATGGATGGTCAAAGATGCACTCACTCAAAGATTTAAAACCTTAAAGTCGCTCAGCTTCAAAAGAAGGATGAGAAATGCACATAAAAATAATAAAAAAAATCATACAAAACAGCTAAATGCAATAAATTGCACAGAATTCACTCAGACTCAAAAATGTGCACATTGTTGATGTAAATAAATACAAAAAAACGGTACATAAGTGGGAATATGCTGTAATTCAGAACAGAAAATAAGTAAATAAGCACACTTTCAGAATTTGTTTCACATGCTATCATATCAGCTTATAAAACAACCAAAGTCCAAATTAAAACAGAAAAAAAGCAAAAGCAGAAAATAAAATTGTCTTAATGAGGCATATAATATATTTATAAATCTCTGTATATATTTCTTTACAAATAATGAATATTTGGCATTATATTCATCCTCACTATAGATATGATATACAAGAGATGAAAATAGTTTTCGCTAAACAACTACCTATTTTTTTTCCATATGATCTAGTTATTATAGATTTGTCTCACATTCCAAGTTAAAGGAAGTGTCTCAGTGATGCCGTTTCATGAAAATGTCCCCTTGGAATATTTCACATTGAGTTAAAAAGTGAAAAGTGAAGCTACAGAATAAAACTTGTTAAGGGAGATGCTCATGAGTTTTAACATTTTTACAGTTTTAGGGATAAGTCTAAAGTGTAGTCACTTGTAGCTGTTTTGATATTTTCATCCTTGTTTATTGTCCACTGGCAAAAAAAAAAAAAAAAAAGGGACAAATAGTTTTACCTGTATGTCTGTTAGCAAAATATCTCGCAACTCAGTGAACAATATAAAAAATAAAAAACTTGCAGAAAGTAATTATTGGATATAACTGTACAAGTGATTAACATTTGGAGTCAACCCAATTCAAGATGGCCACCACAGAGATGCATATTTAACAAACACAAAAATGTCCTTTACTCATTCACTTTTATAGATACTGACCAAATATCTGATGTGGTAATAGCTGAGGTGATCCCCAAGACATACTCTGATGGATAACAGATTGCACATTTTTTTTGTTTAAAAACTTGCAATACACTATTTGGAGTTAACTTTGTCTGTCTGTTAGCAAAAAAGCTCATGAACAACTAGACGTGCTTTAATGAAGCTTTCAGAAAATAATTAGTATATGTTGCCTACAGCTGATTAACATTTAGAGTAGGGATGCACGATATTGAATTTTTGGCCGATATCCAATATGTCGATATGTTAAAATTATTTGGCTGATAACCGATACCAATACCGATATATATATATATATTTTTTTTTTTTTTTTTTCCCTAGACCTACTTACAGAGACTACATAGCTTTCTCTGCTGTGGCATTAAAAAAACGACATTACTCTGCGTGGTCTTTGTCAATTTGTCCTGCTACCAAAAGTAGATGCCAAAAAGGGGACTGAAAATGATGTAACGCTTCAACTGGGATTATGTTTAATGTCAAATTTATTCATGACATTTACTCTCTCTAACACAATGACAACACTCGAACAGCGCAAATTTGTATATTTTCACAAATCTAAACTCAATGGTGCGCATGACGTCATAATGTTATGCTGGCACTGTAGGCATCCTTGTCACTTTACACACACACACTTAAACTATATAAAAATATATATATACACAGCACCTTTTATATCAGTTATTTTGATGGAGTGGCCGATGTCCGATATTTAACTCTATCGCTGATTTCGGACGATACCGATACTAAGTCGATAATATCGTGCATCCCTCATTTAGAGTCAATCCAATTTATGGCAACTAATTGTCATTTTCCAACACAGAAAGAGATATAACTCAGTGAATTTAACACATATTGAGCTAAATTTAGATGTGATGCTAGCTAATTCACAACACATACGCTGAGCATGACATTAAATGATGTCACATGAGATAGCACATCACAAGATTTTCAAGGTTTGACCAAAACGTCTACGTCAGTTCTCAACATAAGATGAGCTCAGTTTCAAACTCTGGCATGAAACAGTGAATGCATTCCTTAAAGGACTGCTAAACCTTTAATTTAAAGAGTAATTTGGAAGGTCAGCTTAAACACAACTCTACAGCTAAATTCTTAAACAAGTGGCCTTCTGTATTTGTGTGCACAGCTTGTACATCTACAGACAAGATACAGCGAAGAAAGTCCTTGAAAAGTATCCTTAAGGGCGTATAGGATCTATTTGTGAGTGAACGAGTGACAGAGACACTTGGTCTAGATGGAAAATCGTGATTTTGTCTTTGAAAGAGAAGCTCAAAGGTATCTTCTTCTACCAGAAACTCATTGATGATTTCAACAGACCCATTCCTTATTTCCAACTTAAGCTGTCAAGTTGCTTGTTCTTCTGCCGCACACATCTCTTTAAACAATTCCCATTCCCCCCGTGAGTTCTGGCACCGATCTAACGTTGGTACTTAGAGTGATTCGTTCGTGGACTGACTAGATAAACGGCCTCATCTCAATTAGTGCTACTCGGAGAAGCAGGAGCTTTAACGCAGGTCGCGTTTCCTCCCAGCTCTGCTCATTTTGCACAGTGGAGATCCTTCACTGCCACTTCAGCATCAGCCTTCAATGGAAGAAGCCAGAGAGAAACTGACACACGCAGTGCTGATGCTTAAATTTTTACAGAGCAGAGCCACTATTCAGCAGCACATTTATCAACACAAGCTCTGAAGGGCCTTGGAGGGTGTTTGCTTGATCTCACCAAGGACTCAAAATCTTACATAAGCTGCTTTGCTTATAAAGGCAGGCTGAAAAATCACCCAGCACAGTGCCTTGCTGTGCTCACAGCGTACAGCAGCAGCAGTTCTGGGGCTCAGCGCAGCGCTCTCGTCTTCTCTAAGCCAGCATATGTCAGGCTGAGACCGTTCTCCCTTCTCGCAGCCCTGCCACTCTGGCAACAGCAGGGGAACGACTCCGCTCTGCCAACAGCCTGGCATCGAAGGCAGTGACACTTTCCAGAAATCCGCTTCCACGTTGTTAAAGGTTACTGCCTCTGCGATGAAAAACGGCAAAATCGTTCACGAAAGTCCTTATTTTACCAAACAGGCGTTGGTTATAAGGAGACTTTTTGGACCAACAACACCATTTAGTCAAAGTTTAAGCCCAAAGGAGTCATGAATATATATATATCTGCATATACTTGAGAGAAAAAGATAATCATCAGGGCTTAAATGGGCGATAATCTTTCATTTAAATCATTATAACTGGACTTCAAATTTAAGACGTCAGAGCTGGACTACATACTAAATGCACACATACATAACATAAAAAAATACACCAAAGAGTTAAAAAATGTAAATCAATCTCCCGCTTCTTATAATAAAGACAAAGTTTATGATTTAGTGTTTGAAATGATGTCCTAATCGTTAACAGCGCACTGGGTTGAGTTGATTGCTTGTTTTAAACTGTGTTGATTAAAGAATTAGCAGCACCATTTTAGTTGTGTGATTACTAAGTGGTTTAAAGGAGTGATTTGACAACAAAATGGACAAGACGGCTCTGTCACGCCTTAACGAAGGGGAAAAAAATCTAACTGTGAATCACAGTTCATACATTTTTTACAGAGGACATTTGTAGGACAGGGATGTGCAAAAGTTACAACGAGTTGTGTCAAAAAAACATCTTGTTCTGTAACAGATTAGCAAGTTTGCAGAGAATAATTTGAGCTGTGTGACGCAAAAAAAAAAAAAAAAGTGGAAGAAGCAATTTACTTTAAATGCATTGTTCTACTGTAACAGATTCACCCAGGACATTAAAAATACAATAAAAATAAATAAATAAATAAATGAAAGCATTACATTTGCTTTGCATATCTTGACAAATGATTGTGCAAGCAAGCAAATAAATAAATAAATAAATAAATGCTCCACAAAAGAACAACACAACAAATGTAGAGTGACACTAATTTAAAAAGGAAAATTGTATCTCAGTCATCTTGTTTCCAGTCTAATCACAGTTATTAAAAATCTAAACGTCATTAGTTAAAATATCCAGTTTGCAAAAAAAATAAATAATAATAATTAGTATATATTAATAATTATGGGAGCTCCGTAAATAATAGATTTTTCTTTATCGACTAATACGTTTCTTTTCATTTGTACTGTCTGTTCCTTTAGCTTCCTTTCAGTTTTAGGGCAAACGGGTTATCAAAATTAGAAAGATGTTTTAAACTTATAATTGCTTAATACAATTTAGAAAAATACAAAAGTGTTTGATTTGTGTTATTCAATCTAAAATATGTAAGAATGTGTTTATTTCACGTAACAGATTATCTGAAAAAAACATGTTGATAACATGTCTGGTCTGATGTGTTTAATATCTTTTACATTCAAAATAAAAACACTACCAAACTAACATTTTGTTCTTATTGATTAATTTAAGGACTTACACCACTAACTGTTTGATTTTAGTGTCTTCATTTTGGGATTATCTAAAAGTATCACTATCATTAAAATCAGATTATATCAAGGTAAGGGTATAAGGAAATACTGGACATCATACAGGAACTTGGAAGTTGAAGCTAAAACATTTTAAGTCCCTCTCCACCTCCATGTAAACAAACAGGACATTGCTCCTGTAATAACAATAATAATGAAAAAACACAACTCAGAGAAAAAAAAAAAACACGTTGACTCTTGTTGATTCATACAGTTCTTACCGTGCTGCTGTATGTATAAATATTCATATTTCATTCATGTACATTATAGTAGGTGGGTCTTAAAGTCCCACATCCTTATTGCTGGTTTCAAATATCCAACATGGCAGCTCCCTTAAACTGGGTTCAGCTGACTTCAAGTCCCAGAACAAGCGAGGGTGGGGACACTCGGTCTCGTGTTTCTTTATACGTCGATGACGCTGATGTGTATGTAAGAAAAACAATAAGCATCCAGCTAGTTTCTCGGAACAACTTTGCACAAATTTAGGGTGACTTTAATCTTTAACGGGACTTGAAAAAACAAAACTTTGCCTGCATTAAGCCACCAGATCTCTTAAACTGAGAGGAGAGATACTTTCAAATCATCTGTGCTCACCTCATGTATTTACTTTCAGCAAAACACTTGTAATGTTGGATAAATTTGCTACTAGCTACTTTTAGCCCCTTGAAATTAGGGATGCACGATATTATCGGCATGGTATCGGCCGATATTAGCAATAAAGTTAAATATCGCACATGGGCCATTCCATCAAAATAACTCACTGATATAAAAGGTGCTGTTTATATATATATATATATATATTTATATATAAAAGGCACTGTTTTTGTATGACAACCCAGTGAAAAGGATGCCAGCAGCGCCAGCACAACGTGATGACGTCACGCGCGCCTACCTGATCTGATCACGGCGGGAAACGAAGAAGTGAAAATGTCGGCGGTGTGGAAGTTTTTTAAAGTGTTGGAAACCGATGCTATTCCGTGATGTGAGGAGGAGCGAAAACAAAGTCCTATAACACTTTGGACTTAGTTAATCATCTCAAGAAGTGTTAGAGAGAGTATGTCATGAATAAATTTGACATTAAACGTAATCCAAGTTGAAGCGTTACATCATTTTCAGACCCCTTTTTGACATCTGCATTTGGTAGCAGGCCAAATTGACAAAGACCATGTAGAATAATGTGGTATTTTAATTCCACAACAGAGAAAGCTATGTAGTTTCTGTATAGGCCTAGGAAATAAAATATTGGTATTGGTATTGTTTATCGGCCAAAAAAGTTTTAACATATTGGCAAATCGGATATAGGCCAAAAATCCAATATCGTGCATCCCTGCTTGAACCCTAGTTTAACTATATTTCTCTTTTTTCTTCTAGACTCACTTAGATATTGCTTGGGGACATTTTAATCAGCATGAATACCTTTTAGACATTTAAAATTTCATAAAAAATACTTCATAGATGAAAAAAAAAAGACTTTGATTATATCTTATTTGTGTTTTGGTATGTATTTACACACTTCTCATTAACTGTGGCTGAGGGTGCAACTTAAAAGTGCCAGAGAAAAGATAAAACAATTTAGTGTGCATGATCAAATATATGTGCAATCAAATCAGATTTGTCAAAGCAGCTATCAAGAAGGGGAAAAAGAACAATCTGTTTACTCACAAATAAATAATACAAGAGTACGACTGTGACCTTGGGTCTGTACATTTCCCTTGGAAATAGAGAGATTTGTTATAAGTGCATAAGTGCATTTGTCTACACATCTTAATCTAAGGAGTTACATAAAACGTCACGATTCGTGTTTTCTTTTCTCTACTGCATTAACGTGATGAAAATTGGCACAAGACTTGCATGTTTTCAGCTTCAAGTAAATGTCTGAACGTTGGCAACACGAACATGAGATATACAGGGAAGTTGTGGTAAAGCAGGATGTTTCCGTCATTCCGCCACCGATTCACACCGTGAAGAAAGTTCGACGATTAAAAAAAAAAGGACGGAAAGCTGCATTTTTCAGCTCCAACCAATGGAGAGCTTATGTAAGGTTAGCCTGAAGAACCTTAAACCTTGGGGAACTTGTGCCCATTTGCACACTGTTGAGGTATTCCAAGCATTGGCACTTTTTTGATTTCACAAGGAATTGGTGATACTTAGCTTGTGATTTACCTCATAAAAGATTACAGAAACAAATGCAACCTTAAAAGAGTGAGCAATACCGAAGGGTCACAAACTATTTGAAAAGCTTGAAATGAACATAGAACCTAATTATTAGCTCCAAGTACTGCTTGCTGGTAGGTTCTCCAAACTGCAATTTTAACATGGCACTTTGCAAATGGGGAAAAAAAATCTACCGATGTGCCCACTGAGGACATGAGAGCTTGTAGGTTGATTATCACCAGCAAACCAAGACAAAAAATAAAATAAAAATCCAACTATTTTGTGTTAGACAAACATTTTTGGTGATGTAAGGAGAGCTGCAGCACATCCTCCAGTGATGATGGCGATAAGCACTGAGGATGGCAACTATCAGACAAGAAATAAACAGAGGAGTAGAGAGAGTAGCAGTCTAGAAAAAAGGCTAGTTTGAAAGTTGTAGGAGCAGGGAGACATATAGGTCCCTGATCCTTCATTTTCTCAAAGTCTAGTCTGAGCCTCTGGAATATAGATCTCAATGCTGTCCGCCCGCTCCGAGGCCGAGTCCTGCCGGAAGGAGGCTGCACGCTTGGCTGCCATGAGCCGCCGCCGAGCCTCCTGCCGGTGCCTGTCAGGGAGGTCCAGGGATTTCTCCCTTGTTACTGCGCTCTTCTGTCGAACTGTCTTCTTTGGTACAGGAGCTGGTGGCTGCAGGAGGCACAGACAGTAATCATTACATTGTTGCACCATCGTTTAGGCCAGGGGTCTGCAACCTTTACGATCAAAAGAGCCATTTTTCACCTTTGTTCACTACATTAAACGCGTACGGAGCCACAACAACCTGCTACAACTGTGGTTATCAACTGGTGGCCCATGGGCCACTTTAGGTTTGCTGGTGGGGGCTTTTGTAGCCAGTTAAGGTGGCATTATAAAGCATAAAATATATGATTTTTAACAATTATTCAAGAAAAATACCAGATACTTGTGAAGGGACATTTTTCCAGTTTTTACCATTTTTTTTTTTAATTAAAAAAATCTATAAACTCTGCAGACAGTTCTTCATTTAAAGAAATAAAGCATAAAGATAAAGTTTTACTCCTTGTAATCTGTTTGAACTAATCCTTTTTTGTTGTTTGTATAACTAATAAAATTCAGTTTTATGTCAGTTTTGGTCAAAGCTTGAAAGAATCGCTGCAGAGGGACCAAAGAGCCGCATGTGGCTCCAGAGCCACAGGTTGCAGACCCCTGGTTTAGACTAAATGCGTGGAAACAATAAAAAGTATGCATCTCAAGTTGCAGTGACAGAATGTCTGACTCCTCACCTTCTCTGGGTTTTCAACCAGCTTCCAATTATTGTTCTTGATTTGCTGGAGCTCGTCAAACTTCAGGTTGACGTCGTCAATGGAGAGTTGTAGTAGGTCCCAAAACCCAGCCAAGTCCTGAGAGGTGGGTCGTGGCATGGCACTGGGGTCCTGGTGGAAGCAGGACAAAGACATCATCAATGACAGCAACTGCTTTTAATTGCACTTCATCTTAAATCCACTAGATGTCCTCCTGAAAACAGACATGTCTGAAGGGACTTGCATATTTTCATGAACGAGATCTGAAATAATAAAACCGTTTTTAATAGTTGGGTCTTATTTATCACTCGGTTCTGGAAATGAAAAGCACATCAGAAAAAAAAAAAAAAGCTCCGTTCTCTGTAAACTTGGCCTGCTGCAGGTTTTCATGAGTCAGCAGTTTCTAGATGGATAAAGTAATATTTTTTGCTCCAATTGTCTTCCTGTTAAATCAACTCTTTGTAACAAAAACAATGATTTTTTTTTTCCGCTTTTTGTTGGAGTCAACACGATCAGACATATTTTCTTTACAAATAAAAAAGAAAGTATTTTTGGTGCTTTGGTACGCATTTGGTACGCATAAAGGCCTACGGTTTCTTAAAGGAATACAAATCAATGTGACATTATAATAAAATAAAAAATACATTATCTGGAATCACACACACAATAATAATGATGATGATAATAATAATAATAATAATAATAATAATAATAATAATAATGTCAAGGCCAAAGTAAACATTTTATTATATTGGTCTGTATCTTGCTTTGAATGTTTGGGATGGCTATAATTTTTATTTGCGCAAAAATGGTAATTATAAAATTATCCTACATTTTAAATCAGGTGGAGAATAACCCCCACCCTGTTTTAACCAAGTGAAAGCCTTCACATTGATTCAGCTTTTGTCACATTCCTAAATACTGTTCTGCAGAAGTGTTTAGCAAAGTGAGCTCCAGAGCTGACAGATTTCGTATGAGTGGAGCATTTTAAGCTCTGGCTATGTCAGTGTGAGTGTTAAATCCTGAAGCACTCCACTTGCTGTCAGTCTCTGAAGATTCTTAAATCAGGCTTTATGAAAGTTGATCGAGGATTTCAAGAGAAGCAGGTTGATGAAACAAAATCAGCGTACCCTTTCTGTCTCTAAATGTGGACATTTCACCAATAAATGGAAAATGTAAAGTGAATATTGTTACATTTGGAGTTACAGCTTCTTCTGATGAAAAAAGTAGTTGCCTAAATTTACCGCATTTTCCGCCGTACAAGTCAATCGTGCGTATAAGTCGCATCAGTCCAAAAAAAGTCTAATAAAGTAAGAAAAAACACAAATAAGTCACTTCGCTGTATAAGTCGCATGTATTATGCGTCACCGCTGACCACCTGGAAACACGGGCCGGTGCTGTGCCACAAATCGATTGGCTGCCAAATGGCGGCCGTTGGAGCATAGCATTAGCAGCAGTAGTTGTCAACAGCCTAGAGGGCCCTCTTGCGCCTCTAGCGGCTGCAAATGGTAGTGTTTAATCTGGTGCATGTCAGAATAAATGAAAGCGTCAGTCAAAAATTGTGTTATGAATATGGAAAAAAAACATAAATAAGTCTCTTCGGTGTATAAGTAGCAGAACGTGCAAATTTATGCAAAAAGGTGAAACTTATACACCGGAAAATACGGTACACACAGTTGTCTTCTTAAGCAGTAAAAAAAAAGGACTTGACTTGCCCTATAAGGCTGGTTTGGTGTGTCTAATACTCAATTGCCATTCCTTCTGAGTTTTCTGCTGCAAGTTGCAAAAAAACAACTTTGCTATCTCTCATCATAACCCCACACCAGCTTCATTAGAAAAATGTGCTCTTGGCTTTGATCTATAAAACGAGTTGTGAAGAGAAAAATAAAAACGGAAAGTGAGAATCCCTGACCTTGTGCACAGTGTGAGCCATGAAGCAGCTGTTGTGTTTGTTTAAAGCGTCTTCTCTTTGCAGGACAAAGCTGCTTAACTAAACATACACACACATACACACCTGCCTACCCTCGGTCACAGTGCTTTCACCTCAGGGTGTTGAAATGAGCTGCTGATTGTCAGAGTTGCAGTTTTCCCCACATCAGTAAAAATATTAGTTCTGTTTTGGTTTGTTAGAAGCAGCTAAAATCATTAAATGTATACTAAAAGCTGAGAGATCACATGACTGTATCTAATGACAGAATATTATTATTGACTGCCTGCTTCTGTGTGTGCATGCCGTCTGTCCTTCTGCACATCTCATTAACTAGACATGTTTGAATGAAAACTGCAGAAGTAATCACTGGATCTACAACAGACTAACTTCTGGAGTCAACCCAGTTCAAGATGGCTGCCACAGCTGAGCAACTTATCAAACATAAAAATGGCTAAAACTGTCAGCTTTACAGAAATTGAGCTAAAATTTAATGTGGAAGTTGCTGAGAGTCATCCCCAACACAAACTGAACGCTAGCTGAAAGAAAACTTTGCCATCAACTATTGATGTGAAATGTGTCTGTTAGCAAAATATCTCATTCATTCAACCTTTATTTATACAGGGTCGTCTCACTGAGTCATGAAGACTCATTTACAAGAGCGACCAGTAACTGTATCTCATAAACTGAACAGATTTGAATAAAATGTTTACATGTAATGATTGGATGTACAGCTACAACTGAATAACTTGTAGAGTGAATTAAATTCAAGATGGCCGCCATCACCAGCTGACCTTGAAAACACAAAAATGACAGTATTGGACAATCTTTTTGATACTAAGCTAACATGTAGCGTGGTAGTAGCTTAATATCATCCCCAACATATATCTTCAGTATGACAGGTTGTGCGTAGTCTGTCTGTTAGCAAAATACCTCATGAACCAGTGGTGGGTTTTATTTAAACTTTCAGAAACAGTCACTTACATCTACAACAGAAAAAAGCATGGATACCAATGTGGGTGTAATGTTTTAAACTAATTCATTATTCATTCTTAAAAATTAGGCTGCGATTTATGCAATTTGTGAAAAAGTTGCACTGTCACATTTTTAAAAGTTCAGCCTAGACTGGATTAACAAGCACCAGAAATCTCAGTGTGACCCATTTAAAACTTGTCAAATGCTGCCATATATATATATAAAGTGAATTTTCTATTGAACCATTAAGTGCACATTTTAAAATGAAATGCATGCTGGTGTGAAAAAGGAACCCAGCAGCATATTTCTTTAAACGTCTGTCCGTCCTTATTTTAAGCTTTACGCTTTAGTAGTTCTGGATAATCACACGGAGCGTGTGCAGAACTCAGAACAAAGACTCTGCACAGCATAATTAGGTCTTACCAGGTTTTGCTGACACAGCCAGTAAAACTGCTGGAATTTCTGAGACATGAGCAGCTGAGCACTTCCCACTGCACTTCGGATTTTACCCAGAACTGAAACACAAGCAAAGCAATGCAGTATTAGACGTTTCCCACTGTGGACTGAGGACACATCGGGTTTGGACCAGAACACTCACTGTCCTCGGACAGGTCGTTCTCCTCGGCCTCTGCCTCCATCTCCTTACACCAGCTCTCCATCCTCTTGGTCTCTGTGTGCAGCAGCTGCATGAACCAGCTTCCGTCTCTCCGCAGGGAGGGAGACACCCTTCCCGTTTCGCCTGATGAAGCTGCACTCTCTCGAGGGGAGGGGGGTTCTAGCTGCCAGGTGGTTTCGCTGGTGGTCTCTCGAGGACTGGGCGGCTCAGCTGGGGTGCGGTAATCGTCGCGGTAGCTAAAGAGGCCCTGGGTACGAACTGTCCGTACAGCTCCATATTGGGTCGGCGTGCTGGGCTCCGAGTGCCGTTGGAAACCCCCACCGAACTGCAGGCCCTTGTCCTCCATGGTGGGAAAGCACTCCAACTCCAAGTCGGCCTGCACGGCCGCAGTCACGCTGTTGGAGCGTTTGAACCTTCCCTGTCTGTAGAGTTGAAAGGGAGGGATGAAAGTCCACAAAATGACAAATAATAGCACTGAAAACAGGGCTTGTGTACCATGGTGAGATCAAACATCAGACAGAATTTTTGTAATGAGTCTATAGGAGCCATTAGCTCACCCTTTTTTGTCATCCTCTACTTGGACCCCAACAGAGTGAAACTCCCGTGAGCCTTTGCCTTCAGACTCAGAGTCCGTGGCTGCTTCCACCTTAAAAAAATAAATAAAAAATCAACCAATGCCTCTCATTATGTGAGTTACCATTCCCCTGTGCCTCTGGGTTTATTGGCTTGAGAACGAACAGAACAACTTAACTGTACATGGCATGTCAGGGAGTAAACATTATATGATTTATGGAGGCTGTAAAGGCGGCCTGAGCTGTGCTACAGCAGAGTTTAGGATTCTACAGAATTTAATTGAAACTGTGAAACAGGGTTTGTTTTATTGCTTGCAATAAAGTAAATACTTGTTAGGTCTTCACGATTGGTTAAAACAATAAAAGCTTTTTTCAGATTTCCTGTTGGAAATCAGTAGTGTCGTGCTTTATGGATTTGATAGATTTCGGAGCCATGGTTTTCTGTTGTATTGCTCCGTTTCATTTTTTAAAAATTATTACCAGATTTGTTTCCATTGGTCTCCCCTTACACCTGGCCAATATGTATCATCTAGTTCCTCCGGGTATGTATACTGCTAGGTTTACATGTCATTTTTATCCTGCTTTCATGACTGTATCTAATGACAGAGTATTATTATTGACTGCCTGCTTCTGTGTGTGTGCATGCCGTCTGTCCTGCACATTAACTAGACATGTTTGAATGAAAACTGCAGAAGTAATCACTGGATCTACTACAGGCTAACTTGAACTCCTCTACCTGAGGTAAAGACTCACCCACAACTCAGAGTGGGCATTCCACCAGTCCAGAACCATGGCCTCAGACTTACACTGCTTTGCCACTGATAAGTGCGCTCCACTCAGCTCTCATCTTATCAGTTCTTCTAGGTGATTTGCCACTGCAACTCGTTTCCCCGCTCTGTGGGTGGGATTGTCGATGCATAGTGGGCAGTATCGTGACAGGTCATTGTGTTCGAGTCACTCTGCCTGTTGTGGTTCTTAATCGCCCTATAATCTGACTGTAATTTCTTTAGCTTATCGCGGCACTGCTTGTAAGTCCGGGTGTAGCCAGGCTGCACCATCCTCTCAGATATCTCTCTGTAAATGCGTTCATTTCTTGTGATGCCATCGGTCAACCCAATCACAGAGGAAGTGGGTTGCAGTTTTGCTGGGCGAGTCATCCAATGATGTAGCTCTGCTAGCCAATCAGCAGCTGCTGTCTGTTTACATCAAAAGCGTCCCCTCGGTAGAGTGCGCTTGGAAGCTCAAACAAGGTGGTCCCATAAACTGAGCTGAGTAGCGGTGGGTACAGACAGTGGGCAGGCCCTTAACTGGTGCAGTGGTGCCGAACCGATGAGAGTTGCGACAGTGGCAAAGCACCATTAGAGGAGCTGACTCTCATCTCAGGCTCCAAACCACCCCAGTGCACACTGAAGGTCATGGGCAGCAGACTCCAACAGAACAATAAATAAAGTTGCATAAAGCAGAAACCCAAACAGCAAATATACATCAACAGAAAAAACAAATTCACAGTAAAACAAAAAAACCTTCAAATAGCCAAAAACACAAAAACCAAGACGGCAGCTCAAACCATTTTTATGCCATTTTTTAGACTTTTAAACGTTTTAAAGATTCGGCGTATTATCAGTCCAAGTCATGAAGTTGTCATCTAAAGGTTTTCTCTTGACAGACTCCACATATATTCAATATGTGTTGACTGCTTTTGCTTTTCAACCCATTTATCACCCGGCAACTTTATCTGGTTAAGAGTGGCGAGGAGCCAATCCCAGCTGACGTTAAGGTGAGCGGCAAGGTCAGCTGAAAATTGAAGAGAGAATGAAAGACCAACATACAGGCTCACACTCACACCTGGCACACATATATGAATTGTAGAACAGGCAGATGCAAACTCCATCCATTCAAGCTGCAGGTTGACCAAACCAATCCAGAAGTGGGTTATGTGAACATTTCTCCCTATTTTTTTTAAAGGAGATGCTGCCAGCATACATCTTTTATTGGATATCTGTGTAGACTGTGTCCATTTTCTACTTCCATCTGATGCTGATAACACGTGAACAGTCTTGAGACAGACTAACTAGTGTTTATATCAGTTATTTTTTATATATATATTAACCCCTAAACACTAATAAAGCATGAACATTTGCAGGTATGAAGTTAAAATGTAACATTCTTTACACTTTACAAGCTCATTAATCAAAGTGTTTAAAAAATAAATAATGTTAGAAGTAAAACCATCTGAAAGTAACAAATCTACTGTAATTTCCAGACTATAAGCCGCTTCTTTTTCCATACGCTTTGAATCCCGCAGCTTATACAATGCTGCGGCTAATTTATGGATTTTTGTTTTTTGATGGGCTAACGAGCTTCCTGCCGTCAAAACGTTTAGCCTCATCACACCCTGGCGCTCACCTCTCCTGGGGGGTGGGTCCTCATGACTCAATGAGACTGTAATACAGGTTAAAAAAAAATCTGACAGATGAAAAATACCAAACAGGTCACAGTTGACCAATGAAACGAGGAGTGGAGGAGAGAACAGGGAGGGAGAACTTGTGCCCCTCCCTGGGGGCACAACAAATTATTTGCAGCCGCTCAATATCAGTGTGAATCGCGTATTAACATGACACTTGAAGCTCGGTGGGAGGCTTGGATGACTGGTGGAAAAAAATCGTTTACCAAAACTGGCGGCATGCAAAGAGCAACTTCTGCTCCAGTCTGCCAGTGGATGCTGGCAGACTGGAGCAGTTTTAAAAAACATCCTCTGCAGGAGGAAGATGAAGATAGTGATAAATGACTTCCTGGTAGGCTACTGTATTTTTTTTTTAACCATCCGTGTTACTGCTGTTCAGAAAAAAAATAAAAAAACATTTACTGTACAAATTTGTGTGTTACAGATACTTATTTAATCAAAAGTTTAAAAAAATCTATCTGTTACAACATGGACACCCACGGCTTATACACAAGTGCAGCCCATATATGTACAAAGTTATTATTATTGTTTAAATTTAGTGGGCGTGGCTTATATTTGAGTGTGCCCAATAGTCCAGAAATTACAGTAATTAGTTTCAAATGTTTTTTTTTTAATCGACTTTTCCTTTGTTAGAAACATTAGAACAAGTTCATCAAGTGACAAACCATAATTTATTTTTTTTCCTTGGTTGGTTGAAGCAATTTGTGTCATCAAAATGATTAGCTATAATATCAATTTATTGCTTTAAGAATCTCAATTTGCAAACTTATCTTCCAACAACGAAAACACATTTTTAAATCATTCCTTAAACTGTCACCGTTTATTAGAAGAACGCGTCCTAATAAATTTCACTAATTATTTGACTCTTCATATAAATGTGGAAAAAATAAAATAAAGACAAAATATAGCATAACCAAAAATAATTAAGTCATTCAGATGCTTTTGGAAAGCTTGTACTGAGTGTGCTTGGTATCGAGAAGACCTTTTGTCTTCAGTGGTTGTCATGGTGAATCCAGGTATTGGGTCTCCATTGAAAATACTTTTTTTTTATTGAGCTTGTTAACTCAAGGTAAAGATACTTAGAGTTGATTGAACTCATTGCAATCAGCAACTCTGGAACAGGAAACTCAAAGTTTTTCTGCTCTGATACATTAACTTAAGAGTTGGTGGATAAAGTCAGAGTTTGTTAAACGTCCTTTACTCCAGGACAATGCAGGACCAAAGAGTTTTTATCGCTGCCTTGAAGCGAGATGCTTTAAACCCCTAAAAGCAAAACATTCCAGTATTCACCCTTTTGCTACTTTTTATTTTTTTTATTTTCTTGTTCCTTGCTTCTCGCTTTGTTGTTTAATTTGTCTTTCAATTCTCTCATTGTCGAAAATTCCCATTAATTTCCTGCTCGCCCATTGTCCCAGTTGCCGTCTTTCTAGGCTGACTGAAGCTTCCTTTTGTCACTTTTAGTCATTTCAGTTCTTCTTTTGTGCCCAGTGGGTCCTTTTTTTATTATGACAGAACCAGCTACAGAGCGAGAATAAAAAAACATGTTTTGGAGAGCTTTTGAAAGAAAATATACAGTCAGTGACGGCCAACAGTTTGGCTTTTGCTTCTGTTACTTGAATTTTTCCATTCTGTGTGTGTTTACTGGGGAATGATGTTTTGTTGACCGCTTTAGGGCAAACAGGTTTATTTTTAAGTTCAATTTTGTTTATGCAGAGCCAGAAGGGCACAGCCCTTAATGATGTTGGTGACTTTACCAACAGTTTTTCATCGTCTGCTTGATGGATTAGCTCATCATTTTATACAGACGACCATGATTCCCAGACATGAAATGTCATTTTCATGTCTTCCATCAACAGGAGGTACTTTATCCCATATTTGGTTCATGAGTAAATGTCTGCTCAGGCAATCAACACCCCAGGCAACCTCATGTGCCTGTCATGCACATTTCACTTAATATACAACATGCTCACGATAAACGTGTGCACATTTTGGTATTATTTTTCAGCTTACATTACTTAAATTATTGCAAACCGCATGTAAAAATGTATGTGCATCATTTATGAACAGATTCTACCCTGAGGCTGTTAGACTTGTACATCCCTGACCAGGATAATCATTGTATGAAAAAAGAAAGGTTGATGTAGTGCCACTTTGATTGGTGATATGTGTCTGTGCTGCTGATTATCCATGCTGCTGATCTCATGCTTCTGATTATCTTATGCTGCTGCTGATCTCATGATGCTGTATTCATTCATACCCATCTGCTCACCATAGACTCATGTTCGGGCTGCTGTTGTTACGTCGTATTGTTTCACATTATCGTGTTTAGCGTATATTTTAGATCTTTTAGCGTACCGTTTGGAGTTTGTTTAGCGTATATCTTTGATCCTTATTTACAGTTTCTTTTTATATTTTGCTATTTTTGGGAGTAAATGGGACCCTGTGCACATAATTTCGTTCCACCTCATGCACCACATGAGCTGATAATGACCAGAGGTCTGCAACCTTTACCATCAAAAGAGCCATTTTTACACCTTTGTTCACTAAATTAAAAGTGATCAGAGCCGCAACAACCTGCTCCGACTGTGATTATCAACTGGTGGCCCGTGG